GTTTTAACGATAAAGCATCAAACAAAGCTTATTTTTACGACAGCCAAACAAAAGAATTCTAAGCGAAAGTTTTTAATGTTGGTTTAGATAGTCTAATTCAGCAAATGAATTCAAGGTTTGAGGCAAACAGGATGGTTGGCAATATGTTTTCATTCATATGGTTGGATAATGATAATCTTTCCGTTCAAAATAAAGTTTGTGAACTTGAACGATTTTATCCAAGAGATGTAAACAAAGAGGATCTAATTAAAGAAGTTCGACGTTATAAAAATGCTCGCAAAACAGTTTTTAAGCAAGGAAACCCACTGCAGCACTGCTAGTCAATTAAATTTTCGAGAAGAAGCTTGAACGCCTTTTTCCGTACATTTGCATATTGCTTCGGTTTCAACACTATACCTGTGTCAGTTGCTCAGGGTGAACAATCCTTTTTTTTTTATATATTTATTTTGCCTTCTACAAAATAAACATATTAATATATATATATATATATATATATATATATATATATATATATATATATATATATATATATATATATATATATATATATATATATATATATATATATATATATATAATTTTCATATACATATACAACAAAATAAGTAATGGCTGGAGCAAGAAGAAGATATAATTCTGTCTTATCACCGAGTCCCATTTTTACAAAATCATGATATAACGGGTGACAACTAAAAAATGAGACTGGATTTAAAGACACATATCTCTTTAAAGAAATAAGATAAAACAAAAAGGAAAAATGTTCTAGAAAGTATTTTTATTCTAGTTTTTAAATATATAATTAGTTTTTCTCAGTTAAACTATTTCTTCTGACTTTATCAACTAGGCCTGGTATAGACTGAGCTAGTCTCCGTATTAGCTCAATATCAATTTTATTAAGACAATACCTGATTCTAGAACGTAATTTTTTAAGATTTTCTGCATGCCAATTATTCTTGTAGACAAAGCCTTTCAAAATACTCCACAAATTTTTGATAGGGCGACATTCTGGCAAGTTTGCAGGGTTATCCGCTTTCTCAACATAATGCACGTTTTTCTTATTTAGGTACAAAATTATTGTTTTTGCATAGTGAGATGATGCTAAATCTAGCCAGAATACATATGCACCATCTAAATGATACCTATTGATGAATCGAAAAAGACTCTTCTTAATAAATTTGTTTAAATAGATTTTTTGGTTTACAGCCAGTCCACATGGTACAAAATAAGGTTGAGAAATTCCATTTTCAGAAAAAGCAATCCATAGAAGTAAATTCTTTTAAAACTTTTGTTTTGTTTTGCATTTAACTGTAGATGGAGTAGATTTTACATCACTAGTATAAAATATATCATTTCCATTGATACTGGAGTGATTTAACGTGAAATAAGACTAATCGTCAATGATTGGTTTACGATTTTTGAATTTCTGACACAATCGACTGCACTTAGTTCTAGCTACTGCTTTTTGCTGGTCATAGCGCTTTGGAATCGTTTTTTTTTTCTTGATTTAATATTCACTCTTTTTTTTTAATGTTTTACTAATGTGTTGCTCAGTACAGTTTAACTTTTTAGGTGCCTGTTGTTGAGAAACACTGTCTTCATGGTCAAACATGAGTTTGAGCCTTTCAATATTTGTCCTGGTCATTTTTTTATCTTTTACTCTACTTCCTTGAATTCTTTGGTACCCAGATTCACTTTCAGCACGTTTAATTACCTTGTAAATAGTAATTTTAGGTATATTCTCAACTTTAAAGTGGTCATAAATGAACTTTTTACCAGCTTTTTTGTAATTTAAATAAAATTCATACACATGTTTTCTAATCTCTTCTTGTTTTGAATTTATTTTTTTATTTATTTTTCCATAAAAAATAAAAACACATAAAATATTTAAAAACTAGAATAAAATAACCTTCTAAAAGGGTTTTCCTATTTTTAAAATCTTATTCCTTTAAGGAGATATGTGCCTTTAAATCCAGTCTCGTTTTTTAGTTGTCACCCGTTATAAATATTATATTATATTGGCCTATTAATTGCTAAAATGCTTACATCATCTGCAGTTGCAAAAAGAAAAAGAATGCAGCTGCAGTTGCAAAAAAAACGATTATATACTTGTAATAAAATAAAATAAGATAATAACAAAAATAAAAAAAAAATAAAACAAAGAAAAGAGATACATATGACATATATTTATATTAAGAGAATAATATCATTAATAAACTTTGTTATTGTGGATTGTGATAATAACATTCTTTTAAAAGAATTTTTTTTTTTAAGTTACCTTGATTTTTTATTAGAGCTTTACTTTATTTAAAAAAAAAAAATTAAAATCTAGCATAGTGAGATCATAGTGAAATCTAGCATAGTGAGATCCATAAATAAATCTAGCATAGCGAGATCCATAAATAAATCTAGCATAGTGAGATCCATGAATAAATCTAGCATAGTGAGATCCATAAATAAGAAAAACGATTTAAAGAAGAATCTAAAGTTTAGATTCTTTTTTAAATCGATCAAGAGTGTTTTTTTTTTTTTTTTATTTGTAATATCTGAAAATAAATTCCTTAAAAATGTCCCACGATACTTATTGAGTATCAACTCAATTTTAGACTTTATCTTGGGACAGCAAAGTTGTTTAATGAGAATCTTGTGCTATATTTATAGCAAATTTCACTAAAATAGGATTGAAATATGGCGACATTCCTAGCTTAGTTCTATACATAAAAACTAAAGTTTTATGTAAATTTATTTCATAAATATTTAAAGCTAGTAAGTAAACACAATAATTACAATCTTTAGTAAACTAAAGATTGTAAAAAACTCTCTTCGTTCGACCATGGACCAGGATCGCGTAACTGATCTTTTGATTATTTCGATTGAAGAAGATATGGCTAAGATGAGCTACGGCGATGTCATCAATATTTGGGCGGCTAGAAAAGTTCGAAAAATTTATTTTTAGCGCTTTATTTAACTTTGCAGAAGATTTTTTCGATTGACTTCTTATTTATTGTTTTTTAAAACTAATATTTTAGTTCATAAGTCAGTTTTGAATAATGAACCGTTTCTCAATTCGGAGAATTAATAGTAACGCAGAATTACAATGGGCTGTATTAAAAATAGATAATTCTTGCTTTTACAAAACTTTAAATTTTGTAATTTCTTGGTTTGAAATAGGGGCGCCATTCTCCATTTTTAACCCTGGCGCCAATGGCCCTCTCGAAGGCCCTGACTTTTACTCCATGTAACAATTATCGTTTAACTTGTAAGTTTTACATTTCAATACGAAGCAAACTTTTTTTTGTTACAAAACTGAATTACTCCATACGAAAATGTTTCATTGAAAATAATTGTCATGAAAACAAAAGAAATGATTAAGTTTTTTGCAGTAAAAAATTATCTTTTGAAAACAAAAATTTAATGAAGTTTTGTGCGGCTCAAACTTTTGACAGTTTTACACTTTTTAAACACGAATAACTTTGAAAATATTTGTTTTCAAGTCATAGTTTTTATAAAAATATTGATCAGCATAAAATTTTCTATCCAACAATACACAGTTTATGATATTTTAGTGCTGTCAAAATTGACCTATTTTTTGCCCCAAAAGGGATATTCCCATTGCGCAATCAACGGGGCTTTTTTTTACGCTCATCCAGAGGCTGTCTACTCCCTCTATGCAAAACTTCAGCTTTATACTGTTTTTGTTCGGGTCAACTCGTAATTTTCTCCGAATAAGAGTGATCCGACTCGTCTATCTACCATCCCATTAGTCTTCTTCCTATCATAAGCAAGGCTTTCTTTAATTAACACATATTTAATCTCTCATCTTAAATCTAATAATTTTCTAATTACTCAATCATTATTAAAGATTTCGATTTTCTTGCTCTACTGCTGATTTGTAAACAGTAATAACTGACATTTTTAAAGCCCTCGATAAAGTTTAGCATAATGGTAAGAAAAGAGCTTATGGAGAACTAAAGCTCTTTTCTTACGGTGTATCAGGTATCATCTTTAAGACTATTTAATCCTTCCTTACCAATCGTAGTATATTGTCATCGATGGACAGCACTCTTTTTTATTTCCTGTAAATTTAGGGATTCCTCAATGTACTATCTTTGGCCCCATACTTTTTTTAATTTAGATTAACGATCTTCCACAAATTCTCTCATTCTCTCAATTAACGATCTTCCACAAATTCTCTCATTTATTCCACAAATTCTCTCATTTAATTTATCTTCCACATATTCTCTAATTTAATATTGGTCGCTGATGATACCACCAATTAGTCTTGATAAGAAGCCCACCCTCTCTGATTACTTGAAGGGGGTATTTGAGCTTGCAAAGGATCTCACTTTTGCATCAGCATGGACTCTCAATGGCTGGTGAACTTTAACTCAGATAAAACTCATTTTTTTAAAGCTATTTGTTATCCCAGTAGATTTTCCTATATTCATGAACGGTGATGTACCTGATAAGTTATCTTTTACTTCTAGGATTTACACTTACTTCCGATCTTTTTTAGAAGCCATATATCAAATCAATTGCAAAATTAGCATCTGCTAAGGTTGCATCTCTTTATCGTACTCGCTGCGTTTTTACTCCGGATTCTATTTTTTACTTTTATAAATCTCAAGTCCATCCTTGTCGAATACAAGGACGGATATGAGATTTATAGAATTAACTATATTTAGTGTTGATCTTTCAATGATGTCCTTTCTCTTTTAGACAAGGTGCAAAAAAGCATAGTAAACATGTTTGGACCTGCTTTTGCAACCAACCTCCAACCATTACCACATCGTCGTAATGTACTAAAAATAATTTATGTTACTCGTCATACAATTAGGTCAAACGTCTAAATTTTTCATCTAAGATTAAATATTTACCTAAAAATTCTCATAGTTTTAACTAAATCTTTTATACTGTTTATTTAAGCGAGAAATAGAGTGAGATGAAAATATGTATTTATTATTATGTATGTCTATATAATATATTATATGGATATACATTTTTTTGCGTTAACTACATGAAAATACGGAAATTAAAATTTTATGACACAAAATTTTAATATTTACATTTTTAATTTTCAAGACAAAACCAAATGTTTAAATTTCACATTAAAAATTTTCCACACGTAAATTCAAAATTTTGCACAACTTTCTATTTGATCTTTCTATTTGACAACTTTCTATTTGATCTGATTTGAAAACAAATATTTCGTAGCATTCGCATTATTCCCATCTAAAGTTAATTAGAAAATAAATTAATACGTGATTTAGTTATTTTATGATAATTTATTTATGTTTATTTAATTTCAAAATAAATAATCATAAACAAAATATACCTCTTGAAATTGATTCTGATATTTGATCATGAGATGATCTAACAGGCAGTGTCACGTGATTGTTATTTAATCTAACACCAAATATATCTTCATGGTAACGCCTGTTCTTCTAAAATAACAAGTCTAAATAACTTTAACCTTAAAACCAACTTTATACATACACAAACACAAGAACCGTCCATAGACGCAAATTGCAGGTATTCCTTAACCTATCCGTTATTTTGTCACTTTCTAAATAAACTTATTAATCAAACTCTTATAATAAACTATTCATCCAATTAACAAAAAAAAAATCGATTCTTCAGCTATATAAGTATTGCAAAACTCATATTTACAAACTAAAAAATGATGTTATATAAATAAATTATTTAGATTGTCTCTCAATAGTTTAATTTAGATCTCAAATAATTTAAATAAAAGTAAAAATCATATACTATATATTTATCTTAAAATAAGTTTTAATCAAATTCTTAATAACTGCTTTTAATTCGTTAATTGCATTTTTAAATGCCATATTATAAGAGAAATTTTTTTTTATCGAAAAACTTGCACTTTTTACCTGACGATTACAATACAAACGAGGTACTTAAAAAATTAAAGATTTTGTTCTACGGACATAGACATTTTATGGTTAAAATTAAATATAATAAAAATTAAATAATAAAAACAGTAAAAAAATTCTAAATTAAAAAAACTATAAACAGTCAAACAGGTATCTGAAATCGGAGTGTTGTGTCAAGTGCTATTCCAAAGAAACTGTGAAAAGGGGGTGGTAGTCTAAACTAAAATGGTTTAATTACGTCCGAAAGAGAAAAATGTGTTTTTATTTTTAACTTTGCAGTGAACTAAGAGATGACAGGACTTTGCACTTTTACAGCATGGGTAGTACAAATTTTATTAATACCATGCAAAAAAAAAAAATTTAGATTGAAAATATATATTTTTTCTTACTTCTAATACAACATTAGGATCTCAGTGGCTGGTGAGCTTTAACTCAGATAAATTTCAATTTTTTTCAGATAATAAATTTTTCATAAACTACTAAATTTATGAAAATTTATTAGTTGAAACTAAACATTACTGTTTAATTTTCATAAATTAAACAGCCATTCAATTAAGTCACACCCTTTTCTTGTGACTGTTTCAGTCAAATTAAAAGGATGAGACTTAATAAACTTAATGTGCTCCAGAAATTCTTATTTATCTAGTTTTTTTTTCTCAAACATCAATTCTTTGGAATTCGTTCCGTTCTTTTTGTTTTCCTGATTCATATAAATTGCAATCTTTTAAGTCGCCTGTTAACCGTTATTTTGCTTTATAAACTTCATGATTTCTCTTCCAGTAACTTCTGACTTAGTGGTTGCTTGCAGTTTTGTTGGAAGTGAGAATATCATTTTATCTATACATTTATATATAAATATACGAATATATATATATATATATATATATATATATATATATATATATATATATATTCGTATACTTAAATATAAATGTATATATTTATACATTTTTTTTCTTCGCATATTTAAATATTCGTTTATTTAAATTAAAACGTGTATATATATATATATATTTATATATATATATATATATATATATATATATATATATATATATATATATATATATATATATATATATATATATATATATATATATATATATATATAAATATATATATATGTATATATATGTATATATATGTATATATATGTATATATATATATATATATATATATATATATACTATATATATATATATATATATATATATGTATATATATATATATATGTATATATATATATATATATATATATATATATGTGTATATATATATATGTATGTATGTATGTATATATATATATATATATATATATATATATATATGTATATATATATATATATATATATATATATATATATATATATATATATATATATATATATATATATATGTGTATATATATATATATATATATATATATATATATATATATATATATATATATATATATATATATATATATGTATGTATATATATATATATATATATATATATATATATATATATATATATATATATATATATATATATGTATGTATGTATGTATGTATGTATGTATGTATGTATATATATATATATATATATATATATATATATATATATATATATATATATATATATATATATAATAAACCTTTAAGTAACTAACCTTCAAATTATGAATCAAATCTTTGCAATCTTGCTCACTATATTTTAAATTGTCCATCATGATATTTATTATGGTTTTTTGAACATCTGATGCCATATTAACATTACCGCACACATATATATGACCTTCTTTTTTAATAAAATATTTCAAGATTACCTCTGAATTAGCTTTTATTAAGTCTTGCACGTAAGTCTAATGAAAAATAAACATATTCATTTATTATTTTTGAAATTCTAATTTCTAAGAAATAGTTTTTTCCTAATAAATTAAAAAAATAAACAAAGTTTATAAAAAAAATTTAATAAAAAATATTACAGGAAATTGATAAATAAAAGTGAATTTATCTATGTTTTATAAATTAATAAAAATTTTTTAATTTTTAACTGTTTATGCATAGCAACAACATCAATTTAGATTTTACAGTTTTTTTCAATGCTTTATAGTATACGCATACAAATTCAGTGGGTATATTGGGTACTTCAGCGTGTCCTCAATCAAAAAATTGTCACAAAGAAAAGCTAGACTAACTACAACAAATGGTTTAAAAGTTGATTAATAATGCGGAGAAATGTTCAAAACACTTAAAAAAAAAATTTTTTAATAGACTTTTTTTTGTTGAAACATATACGAAAAACTTAGAATATCCTTATATTTCACATGGAAGAGTCACTAAAAAACTGCCTCCATATTTTTCAAGGAAACCTTTTATGAGATACTATGAGATCTAATGTTGTATTACTAATGTTGTATACTTGACTAATGTTGTATACTTGTGTAATCTGAAGAAAAAAGAAAAGCAGAAAAATTTAGTATTAAAGTCATAAAAGAATCAAATAAGATTCCACTTTTTTAAAATATCTTTTTAAGGCAATATCAATTAAAGTTGAACTTACCAGAAAATAAATAGGATATAGGTGCATGAAATGGTTTATCTAAAAATCTGTCGATTATACAAATTATAAAACCATGAAGACTTGAACACTAATACTTATTGTAACTAGATGAATAATATGTTCCTTTAATGAAGGAACATATTGAATACCTTGTTTCCATAAACATTGGAATTGGCAATCAGCAAAATGGCATCTTGCTAATTGACAATTCACATACATTTAAATTTTGGGGAAGTCAAAAAAGAGATAATAGCACATTTAAGCAGTAACTGCAGCAACCATTGTACTATCTATGATAGCATTTGTATTGTGGCACAAGCAAATTAAAGCTTGCTCATGATTTTTTAATATGCCTAGCTGTTAAACTAAGCTGCTAAAGCAGGTTCAATCATCTTTATTATAGTATTTTCACATACCCAAAAGAAAAAAGTCATTATTAAAAAACCCTGCCCAAATAAGCCCATACAAGGACAAATGAGATATTTATAATGGCATAAAACAAGCTTGGACAGAAATGGTGTGCAATCAAACAATATTGCTGACCATGCAAATGATTTTTTTTATTGACAACTTGACCACAACTGTTTAGATGTATTGATTTTAGAAATGTGCTGATTAAAAAAACACTGAGATAAAGTTGAAGTAGAAAAAAGGAAACAATTCCCTACAAAAAAATATATATATTTATATATATATATATATAAGCTTTAAAATAAAACTTAAATTCGAGGCAAAAATTACACTTTGTTACATTTTTAAATACGTTTGAAATAAATTACTTTAAAACTTATTTATGAAACATTTTATTAAAATTATGTGTTCACATATATATATATATATATATATATATATATATATATATATATATATATATATATATATATATATATATATATATATATATATATATATATATATATATATATATATATATATATATATATATATATATATACAGTAACGGATAAAACAAGTGCAACCAAATAATGCTAATTTAGTTTCTTTATATAAAAATGCTTATTTTTCAATTTAGAGAAATAACTATGTAACTGTTTAGAGACACTGTTCTTCAAGTTTTATTTATCACAAAGTTCAATATTTGTACACGAAAATTAATAAATTAATTATAAGTATTAAAAAAAGTTGATTTCCTTCTGGACAAAACAAGTGCAACTCCACAAAATGTTGAACAAGCTGTATTTCGCTATCAATATTTCGTGGTGAATCCTTTGTTGTCGATCACAGCCTTACATCTTCGAGGCATAGATTCGATCAGTTGATCAATGAAACTTTGTGGAATTGCTGCCCAGGCCTTTTGGATTTTTTCAAACAGCTGATCCTTATTACGAACACCTTTACGATTAAGTCTGCGGTTGACGATCTCCCACAGGTTCTCGATAGGGTTGAGATCGGGAGATTGAGGCGGCCAATCCATCAGCGATAGGTGGTTGTCTTGAAACCACTGCTCGACTACATTTGCAGTGTGTTTCGGATCGTTGTCTTGCTGAAAAACCCATTTTATTGGCATATTGCATTCAACATGAGGCAACATAACATCTTTCAGGATACTTTTATACATGAAACGGTCCATTATTTCATCAATTCGATGTATTGTACCTACGCCGTTAGCAGAAAAACACCCCCAGACTATTACATTACAATAAATCGAGGTGTTTTCTGGCTGGTCAACGTACACGGCAAATGCCATCGCTCCCAATGATGTTGAACTTCGATTCATCACTAAACAGGACAGTTCGCCATTTCTGCACATTCCAGTCAATATGAGATGTAGCAAACAGGAATCTTTTCTTCTGTTTCTTTAGTGAAATCAGCGGTTTCTTTTCAGGTGTTAAGAAAACAGTCCGCCTTCAACAGCACGTCGTCTGATTGTTCGGTCCGATACAGGCAGCTCTAATTGCTTTTGTATCTCGACTGATGATAACCAGGGATCCTTCTTGACGGATCTAACGATCATAGAATCCTCTCTAGAAGTGGTGGAACGCAGTCTTCCACCTTTGTTATCTGCTGCCAACTTCCCCGTAGAACAATATTTGGAACATAGTCTTGATACGGTACATTTTTTCACGCGATATTTATCACAAATATTTATCACATTCCACTTACGATATTTATCACATTCCACTTACATAATCGCCAATAATTTTCTTTCTTAGTTCCAATCCAAGACTGTCGGGAGCCATTTTTGCACTTGAAGTTATAAAAATAATAAAAATAATCACGCTTCTCAAGGCTGACTGTGTTACATTTACCATGATACAATAACGCTCTGTGGAACACAACGTCTTGGTTGGATGTGGACTGTATTGATGTAATATAACACTTGTTGTATTTCACTTCTTGTATTGATGTTGTTCGATAAAATACTTTGATAAAACTCACTTCGATAAACTGTCTTGATAATACTGACTGATTGACTTCCATATACTGACTGAATTACATGCCGGCTTACATGTCTCTTATATAGTAAAATGAACCTGTGTGAACCTGTTCTGGAAGATTCTAGATGCTTCTTTTCGATGTTTCTGGAAGCTTCTGGATGCATCTGGATGCTTCTGAATGTTTCTGATTACTTCTGGAAGCTTCTGCATGCTTCTGGAAACTTCTGGATACTTATTTTAATTATTAAAAAATTTCCATGATGTTGACACAGACCAGACTTAAGAAAATGAAACAAACCAAAAAAGTTGCACTTGTTTTGTCTGCTGCAAAATGGCACTTGTCAACAAAATTGTTTTTATTTTTTTAAATAATTTTATGTATTGAAAGTTTTAACCTTTTTTTTAACTAATACTTTATTTTCTATTTTTCCATTTGAAATTTTTCCAATTGAAGAATGAAAAAAACTTATTTTGTTTCATTCCACCCATCAGGGTTGGACACTGCAGCCTATACATGGGTCAAAGTACCTAAATGTTTTAATTGAGCTTATTTCATTCTGGGGTACTATTTTTTTGTATGAAATATTTCCACTAGGGTGTGTGTTACATAATTTAAAGATACATTAAAAAAATATATTTTATTACACTAATGTTAATTATAATTTGTTTTCGTTTTTTTCAATTTAGATATTTCATTAGATGATATTTTGGTCAAAACATCAGGTAATTCAGAGTTGTATAGTCATTCATGTAGATTGTATGTAAATATATTTTACCCAGTTTTTGCAATGTGGTTTATTGAAGTATACATTGCAGTTTTATTGAAATATCATACAATTCAGAGACTTCTGGAATGACAGGCACTTTTATATAACCTATATTATAAATAAAGACAAAAATAAAATTGAAATGTTTACTTTATTAGGCATCCTATATTTTTCAACAATTTTGAATTTTTTAACTATTTTGAATTTGAGCTAATTTGAAATTTAATTAACATTTAAAATGACACTATTCTCAGAGGTATTTAAAATTTTTGATGAAAAAAAGAAAAAAAAAAGTATTGAGTAAGAGTAAGTAGTAGTTGTTAACAACATTGTTGTCAACAACTAAATCGACTAAAAGTCGACTAGTCGAAAGTCAAAATTAGTCGACTTTGAAAAATCAAATAATTGATTAAATTGACTATGGGCTTCCTACTAATTGACTAAACATTGATTTAGTCAAGTAAAAATCTTAAAACCTTTACATCTTTGCATTTTTTTTATTTTTTCAACCTCTGTTCGCACCTTGTCTAAAAGAGAAAGGACATAATTAGGCAGCAGTATTCCATACAAGGCCGGATTAGAGATTTATAGAGATAGAGAATAGAACCCAAAGTAAAAAAGTGTTGAGCTAGATAAAAAGATGCAACTTTAGCAGATGCTAATTTTGAAATGGATTTGATATATGGTCTCCAAGAAAGATTGGAATTAAAAATTAATTCTAGAAGATGAAGGGTAGATGACTCATCAAGTATATAACCGTTCATAAATATAGGAAGGTCTAAATCATTGCGATAATAATTGGCTGAAAAAATTGAGTTTTATCTGAATTAAAGTTCACCAGCCACTGTGAGCCCCATGCTGAGCAGAAGTGAGATCCTTTTCAAGCTCAAATGCCCCCTGAAAGCAGTCAGAGAGTGTTGGCTTCTTATCAAGACAAGAATAAATGGTAGTGTCATCAGCAAACAATGCCTCCTTAGATGTGAGAATATCTGGAAGATCGTTAATATGAATTAAAAAGAGTATAGGGCAGAGGATTAAACCTTGAGTAACCCCAGAGGTTACAGAATAAGAAGAAGAGTGCTGTCCATTGAGGACTACTTTGATACTACTATTGGAAAGGAAGGGTTCAATAATCTTAAAGATGTTACCAGATACACCGTAAGAAGAAAGCTTATGGAGAAGACCAGCATGCCAAACTTAATGAAACTATTAGAAATGTTAAGAGCGATGGCCTTAACCTTTATCTAATATATTACAACTATTAACTTTTACCTTAACTATCAACCTTTATTTATACAAGTTATCTATACTATTACAACTTTCTTAAAACCTTTACATCTTTGCATTCTATTTAATTTTTCAACCTTCGTTTGTTCATTTAATAACAATATTTTTAGTTTTGCTTTTCTTAAGGCTATACAAACACTATAGACGTAAAAAAAATCACTTTTATAAGTATTTCAATGACAAAAAAGAAAACACTTATTTGATAATAATAATTACTATATTTAATGTACTTAGTACCTAGTTTTTTTAATTAATATAATTGTTAGCTTTACTTATACCTAATTAAACTTTAAATTATGTATTTTAATAATTTTTTTTCTTTTCTTTACTCCATGCTTGTGGTTTTCATAAATACATTCATACAGAGCAGCTCCAAGCTGGTTCAGGGCCCCGGGGGAAAATTAAGTTGTGAAGCTCTAATATCTAAATGTCATTAATCTACACAATCACATTGTAAATGTGATTTACAATGTGATTTTGTATTGTAATGACTTTTTTAACATATAACAAGTATTTAAGGCGGTCCCTAAATTATTGGGGTCTGGGAACAGATTGTCCCTTTGTTGGTGCAGCTCTTTTCTCATATTGTTTTGCTCCATTATTTTTTAATGACGAGATAGTAAAAATAGATATGAATAGATAGTGAATATAAATTTTATTATTTTTATTAAATTTAATTTAAAAAAAATAAATTATTCCATTCAACTAAATCATCTTTTAGTCAATTTTAAGTCTTATTTTAAACGATTGAAAAATTCAATTCAATTTAGTTGACTTTAGAAAATATTAATCAATATAGTTGACAGTCAAATTATTTAATAGTCGTAACAACACTAAAAAAGAGCTAGTTTGTTGCCCAAAACTGGAGAGTAACACAATATTCAATTTTTTTTTTAAACATGGTCAATTACAAAAATATATTAGTCAATTTTAGTTGACTTTAGAAAATGTATTAGTCAATTTAGTTGACAGTAGAATTATTTAATAGTCCTAACAACACTAAAAAAGAGCTAGTTTGTTGCCTAAAACTGGAGAATAGCACAATATTCCTGAACTTATAGAAATCCTAACATAATTGATTTTAACCAATAAAATCAAATTGTGTTAATTTAGAAATTTGTATTTTTTACTTAGGTTTACCTTTAGTTCTTCATTGCCATATAAGACAAAGATATTTTGATTTAATTTACACAGTCTGTGTCACATGCCTTAAAAAATAAAGGTAAATAAAATACAATAATTCAGGCTGGCATTCCATCCTGAATTACAGTATTTCCAGCTAGAACAAGAATGAATGAAAAATCACAAATTCAAGCTGGAATTTTGGCCAGAACATCCGTTCTAACATTCCAGTACATCCCTAGTCAAGAGTAGAATCTGGTAAACCTTAGATCGTCTTAATTGGTAAACATTTCTATAATTAGAATCACTATAAAAATACTCAACCCTGATTTGATAATTTCTGTATGCTTAGCTTTTGTTATGGACCCAATAAAACAAAATTGCATTAAAAAAAAATTTTAAGAATTGTTCAAAAAAGATACCTTTGGCTTTCCAGATAATCTGGAATATCCTACAAACACTTTGGTTAAAGCTCCTTGACATTTTGCATCTTCTAGTTCTCTGCCATAAATATTATCAAAGTTGTTTCGACAACCAAAGAATAAAAACATTTTACCAAACTTTACCTTGCTCTGATGTAACATATTAAATAATCTTTGTTGCCAGAAAGATCGAAACGGTGCAATACCTGACCCGGTTCCCACCATTATTATGGAAGCAGATGAGGATAATGGAAAATTAAAAGCAGGAGCCCTGAAATAAAAAAACAGCGGTTTAGAGATGATTAGATGGATGGAGTGGGAAGTTATTTAACAATTATTTTAACTTGAACATATTTAAAAATTTGATAAACACACCCTGGTAAATTTAAGATCAACCTCACCTAAATGGACCAAAATAATTCTTCTTTGGAAACATTGTATATACCTTATTATATATTGTATATAATAAGGTCTATACAATGCTTATTTATTATTTTTCTGATTAAATTTTTGCAATTTAAAAAAACCCTTCCACAATTGAGGCGGTAGTAAATTTACATAGTCAACTTTACAAATCACCAAAATGATTTTTTGAAACCTAATATAACCTAATATAACCCTAGATAACCTAAAAGTTTAATATGAGGAGGAATATAAAGTCATGTCTCATACCCACTAGAAGTTTAATATGAGGAGGAATATAAAGTCATGCCTCATACCCACTAGAAGTTTAATATGAGGAGGAATATAAAGTCATGTCTCATACCCACTAGAAGTTTAATATGAGGACGAATATAAAGTCATGCCTCATACCCACTAGAAGTTTAATATGAGGAGGAATATAAAGTCATGTCTCATACCCACTAGAAGTTTAATATGAGGACGAATATAAAGTCGTGCCTCATACCCACTAGAAGTTTAATATGAGGACGAATATAAAGTCATGTCTCATACCCGTTCTACAGCTAGGAGGAATATAAAGTCATGTCTCATACTCGTTCTATGGCTGATTTGCTATCAGTAATAACCAATAGGTTTTATCGCGCATTAGATAAAGGTGGAGAGGTTAAGGCCATTGCTCTTGACATTTCTAAAGCTTTTGATAAAGTTTGGCATTCTGGTCTTCTCCACAAGCTTTCTTCTTACGGTGTATCTGGAAACATCTTTAAGATAATTGAATCCTTTCTTTCCAATCGTAGTATAAAAGTTGTTCTTGATGGACAGCACTGATCTTCTTATTCTGTAACCTCAGGGGTTCCCCAAGGCTCAATCCTTAGCCCTATACTCTTTTTAATTTACATTAACGATATTCCAGATATTCTCACATCAAAGGTGGCATTGTTCGCTGATGATACTATCATTTATTCAAGTCACAATAAGAAGCCAACTCCTTCTGATTGCTTGCAGGGGGCATCTGAGCTTTAAAAGGATCTCACTTCTGCTACAGCATGGGGCTCACAGTGGCTGGTGAACTTTAATTCAGATAAAACTCAATTTTTTTCGGCCAATCGTTATCGCAATAGTTTAGACCTTCCTATATTTATGAACGGTAATATTCTTGATGAGTCTCCTACCCTTCATCTTCTAGGATTAACTCTTACTTCTGATCTTTCTCGGAAACCTAATATCAAATCCGTTGCAAAATTAGCATCTGCTAAAGTTGCTTCTCTTTATCGAGCTCGTCACTTTCTTTCTTACTCTGGATTCTATTCTCTATCTCTATAAATCTCAAACCCGGCCTTGTATGGAATACTGTTGCCATATCTGGGGCGGATCTTCTAATGATGCCCTTTCTCATTTAGACAAGGTGCAAAAATGCATTATAAACATAGTCTTGCAGCCAACCTTTAACCTCTGTCACATCGTCGTAATGTTGCTTCCCTTTCTCTTTTCTACAAATACTATAATGGGCACTGCTCGAAAGAGCTAGCGTCTCTTGTGCCATCTACTAAAATTCATTCTCGTGTTACTTGTCATTCAATTAAGTCTCGTCCTTTTTCTGTTACTGTTCCTAAGTGCTCCAAAAACTCTTATTCGTCTAGTTTTTTTCCTCGAACATCAGTTCTTTGGAATTCGCTTCCCTCATCTTGCTTTCCTGATTCATATAATTTGCAATCTTTAAAGTGGTCTGTCAATCGTTATCTTGCTCTACAATCTTCATCTTTTCTCTTCCAGTAACTTCCAACACTAATTAGTGGTTCCTTGCAGCCTTGTTGGAAGCGAAGATAATTTAAAAAAAAAAAATACCCACTAGAAGTTTAATAAGAGTAATGTAAAGTTATGTCTCATACCCACTAGAAGTTTAATATTTTTCAACGGTTAAAGAAATATTTGATAGAGATGGATCAGTTTATTATATTTCAATTAATTCTCTGATTTCACTTATTTTCACATATACTAAAAAGTATACTATAAAACTGATGCTTTTGTAGAATTATTTAAAAACATTTCAATTGCTAAATTGTTAAAACAAATATTTTGTTTTGAGAATTTATTTATAATTAGGCATTAGGCTTTTATACAATATTAATTATTATTATTAGGCTTTTATACAATTATTATAGAAGTTTTATATATTATTATAGAAGTTATTTCAATATCATTGCATTAAGTTATTATGAACATTTAATAAATAGTTAATCACAGTTTTACTTAAAAACTTTTTTTAACTTGTTGAATCTAATATTTTTATTTTGATGTTTTCATTTTTTTTTTAAAGATAAAAATTGAAAGAAAATAAAATTCAATTTTAATGATAAATAAAATAGAAAATTATTACTTCCTGACAAAGCAGTAAATTTTGTCTTCAGATTTTCTTGAATGCAGCCATGATGAGCACACACCATTATGAACAGCATCTAATAATATATTTATCACAATGAAAATCAAGCTAAGAAGACTGTGGAAGACAGACGAAGATGAATGAAGATGGATGGATAAAGATGGATGGGGGGCTATTAAATTCAACGAATGAATGTATGAATGAAGTAAAATATATAAATTGTGTTGTAAATTAATGAAAGTATTCAACAAAAATGAAAGAAAGAATTATGAAATACAAATAAAAAAACTAAATGAAAGTATGAAACTAAAATGAAGTAAATAAAAAAATTCTTGTAAAAGAGCACCAAGCAATATTTATAATATAAAATAAAAAAGATACATACTGTTAAAAAGAAAAAATTGAGTATATATATATTTTGTATTATATATATATATATATATATATATATATATATATATATATATATATATATATATATATATATATATATATATATATATATATATATATATATATATATATATATATATATATATATATATATATATATATATATATATGTATATATATATATATATATACATATGTATTGTATATTTGTATATATGTATATATATATATATATATATATATATATATATATATATATATATATATATATATATATATATATATATATATATATATATATATATATATATATATATATATATATATATATATATATATATTGAGTATTATAAAGCTCTTGTCAGTATATTAAACTGGTTTATATTAGAAAAATTCAAAACCAATTTTTTTTTTTTTTTTCTAAATTGTCAAAACTTAATTATCTCATATCTTATTCAAAATTAAAAATTCAATTGCATCACAACAATGAAGACATTGTTTACACATTTAAGACATGTCACAATGGCTCAATAAATCAGGTGATGATGACAAGCAACAAAAAAGAAATTTAATTAACAGACAATGATTTTTTTATCAACTGATATATAACCCAAGATTGCTTTTAGTACAGCTGCAAAGAAATGAATAGATAATATTGCATTAGAAGCAAAAAAGATTGTAACTGTGGCAAATATAAATTTCAATGTTTCATAATAAATTTTTAAAAATTAGATTTTTTAGATTTAACAACAAATATTGTCTTACTATTCATAGAATAAGTCACCAGTGCAACTGTTAAATGAATTTCATCGGGATAAAGGTCTGGTGATGAAGATACAGAATAATATCTCTAAATTTTGAAACAAATATTGGTAATAATATATGAATATACTTATATAAGTTATATATGAATAATTTGTAAACAAAATAATAAAAACAGAAAGTAAAATTACAGGCTTTAGAATTGGTAACTCTGTTGCTAATAGTATAAAATCAATTTCAACTGATAAAAACTCCTCCAGAACATCTACAATGGTGCAATATGAAGATTGCTTCCAAGTTTCATATTCGTTACAAACCTAAAGGTACAAAAACAATTAACCTAAAGGTAAATAAACAATTAACCTAAAGGTAAACAAACAATTAAACCACCGAATTTGAAATAAAATAGAAATTATAAAGAAACCAATATACCGTAGCAAGTTTCATTAGCATCTCTTTTTCATTTACATTTTTACATTTACTAGCAAAAATACCAAGTAGCTTCATAGAAGGTGGAGTTGTTATATCAAGATACCACCCAAAAATTCTACCTAGGGTGTTTGGAAAAGGCAATCTTGTTTGCAGTTGATTCTTGACTTCTTTATCTGATAAGTTTATATAAACAATGAAAATGTTTTGTCATTCAAAATAATAAAAACATTAATATAAACTTAAAAACTTAATAAAATAAATAAATAAGTAATATTAAATACCATATGAAATTTCTTTGTCCAAGACTATGTCTACTACTGTTGATAATGTAAGTTTATTGTTAGTTACACGACTAATTAATCTCTCAACCATTTCTATGTTGTTACATGCATAAACTCCTATGTGATCGCCTGAGTTGTATAACAATTTCTTTGTAGATAACTTATCAATACACACCAAATTTGTAACATCACTGTTTAAATTAATTAATTTAATATTAATTTTGTATACTATATATACAGTATTAAACTTTATACTATTTTATTTCAGTCAGACAAAAACATTTTGAGTTTATTGCAGAAATTAAAACACTACATCAAAGCATTAGGTTTAAAAAGAATATAAACATACATAAAGCATCTTACAAGTGATACCAAGATTCAGAGAGAATACTAGCATAAATATATAACAATTTACAAGTGAGTTGACACCATGCCAAAGGTTTAATTCAAACACAAACATTATACAATCAAAAAACAAAACACAAATTCAGTTAATGTTTTTCTATTAACTTTACAACTTAACAAATTAAATAAAAAATTATTAAATAAATACATAAAAAATTACTTTGATTCTTCAGTTTGCAAATTTCTGACAGAAACTATTCGACATTCTTCAATGGCTTTTTGATGGAAAAGTTTAAGCTCTAAATAATATTTAAAATTAAACTATTTGATTTAAACAAATGAAAAATATAATATGTGGTAAAAGGGGCAACACCCCCACCACCTATTTAATGAATTTTTATATCATTAATCCAAAAATTGGGACCTTTATGTACCTTCAGTTGGAAAATTAAAACCTTTTTATAGATTCATCTTACAAAACTTGGACTATTTATTTTTAATCAGTAAAATGGGGAATTATAGGACTTTTTTTTTTTCAAGTCAGCAAAAAACTTTTCTTAATACATTTCAAAAATATCTTGCTGAATGTTTTAATGTACTGCTTCAGAGGGTAACTTCTTTTAATTACTTCAATTCAGGTCAGATTCAGAATCTGCTTTTTTTGCTTTTTTAGACAAAGGTTAGAAGAAACAAATGCTAGAGATTGTGTCTTAATAAAAACACTCATCTTGAGTAGATGTTAAGTGCATCCAACTACTATTTTGTAGAAGACACCTTTGGCAAAGACTTTAGGGGTAAGCAGAATAATTCTCTTGACCAGCCTTGTACCCCTTTCTTCATGTAATAGGCTGGCATAGATGTAAACCTGTTAAATTGTTTCCTGCTAGGATGATGAAAGCTGGATCTCTTTGACTCTACTCATAGGTTTCTGCTTGTGTCTCCTTGATAGTGGCTATGCTACTCTTTCTGTTATCTCCTAATTTAATGATTCAGTTTAATGGTTCTGAGGTAGGCTGATACTAAGGTTTTTCAAATTTTGTGGTAGCTCTAAAAGAGGCTGATTGTACCAATGTAAAAAGGTACTGTCTGATACTAGGTTCCTTTATTCATGGTTTGCTAAAATTATCAAATCATTTTTTTTAACTGCTTTGTTATGGTCATTGCTGAACACTCTTTTTCATTTCCAGTAACTTCTGGGGTACCTCAAGGTTCTATCCATGGTCCTGTTTTGCTTCTTTTTATCATACTCAAAATTATTTTACTCCTGAATCAAATTATTTTACTCCTGAATCCTGTATGGAACACTGTTGTCATATTTAAGCTGCTTCTTCTAATGAATTTCTTTCTCTTCTAAACAAGAAAAACTAAACTAATCTAAAAACGCATTGTAAACCTAGTTGAACCTGCTTTATCTGCCAAGCGTCAACCACTCTCCCATTAATGTAAAGTTGCATTTATCTTTTCTACAGATTCCATCATGGTTGCTGCCCAATAAAGCTATCATATTTGCATCAACCAAAACTGATTCTCGCTTGACCTGTCATTCAGCAAAGTCCATCCCTTGATTGTATTTATCTCGTGTAAACTCTAAAACATTTATTTGTCTAGTTTTTTTCCAAGCACCTCAACCACCAACTTCAACACTTTAGAACTCTTTTCCATCTTCATGTTTTTCAGACACATATAATCTACAACTTTTTAAGCCTTCTGTTAACTGTTTCCTTGATCTTTAACTCTTTTTTTTTTTTCTATTGACTCTCAACTTATTAGTAGTTGGTTGCAGTCTTGTTGGAAGTGAATTAGAATAAAATAAAAGGAAAGTCTGTATTTAAAAACAAAAGGTATTTAAATGGAACATAATTACTGAAGGAAATGCCACAGTTAACAAATCAAATTCTCATTCTGAAATAAACAATAATATGAAATAAGTAACTCTCAGCTTAATAGTGATTGTTTGAAGTCTTGTTGGAAGTAAACAAGAATAAAAAAAAAAAAATTATTTTGTTTTTGTATTTGTGTTGTTATTTATAAAAATTGCGTTTGTATTTGAAAATGAAAGCTAACTAATTTCTATTTATATTAATCAAAAAATGAACCCTGGAAACTGTCAACAAATACTCATTCTAGAATAACCAATAATATGAAATGCATAACCAATAACTTGTTATCAGAATACTTTCCAAGAAATAGTGAAATATCAAAAAGTAGATTGCAGTATATAATATAAACAAATAAAGTGAGTTATAGTATATAATATAAACTAAGCGAATCAAAACATATATCATAATATAAAAGCGAATCATAATTTTTGTTTCTATTTATTATTGTAATTTTAATAATTTTAGTTAAAGAACTTCCATGCTTATTTTAAACAAAAAGTTTGTAACATTTTTAATATTTACTTTTATTTGTATTAAATAAAAATAAATTATAAATAAATGCAAATGATATTTTGAGTGCTTATCACTTGTTTAATAGTTAAGCCTTTGCATAAAGCTAAATAAACAATTTTAATTAATTTAATTAATTATTTTGATTTGTAAAAGAGAAAATTAAAGAAATTAGTTACAAAGCTTTTATATCTGGATAATAAAAAAATAAACTCAATAAACAGATTATTTGTTTACAATATATAATATGTTAGTATGTTTATTAGTTTCATTTTTTTTTAATTATCTTCATGTTATTACTTTAAATCAAACTTTTACAAAAAACAGATTATAATAAACCTTCATGCAGAGACTTCATGACAAACAGATTATAATAAAGCTCACCTTCATGCAGAGACTTCATGACAAACATTTGAGGAAATATGGCACAATAATGTGCACTGCATAATTGTGAAACATTTGTTGGTTGATTTCCAATCTTCACTGAAAATTGTTCACATGCTGCCTATTAATAAACATATAGAAATCAATTTAAAAATAAAATAACTTTACACAAAATAATTCTGTAATAATTTAAACCAAAGATGAGGAAAAACCTAAATCACAAAATTCAGTATAAACGGTTTTAACTTTTTAATTGCAAAAGTAATAACTATGGTATAACCAGATCAAAGGTCTGGAGCTTTAGAATAGAGCATTTTAAAATCTAAATACAAATCTGTTTTTGTGTTACTCAGCTCCCGATATATTTGAAATTTTTTAAATAAGCTTTTGTATAAGATAATTTACAAAATATATATATATATATATATATATATATATATATATATATATATATATATATATATATATATATATATATATATATATATATATATATATATATATATATATATATATAAGATAATTTACAAAATAAAAAACATAATTTACAAAGCCAATCAAGAAAAAATCAACCAACCAAAGTCTTTGTAACACTTATTTAAATAACAAACCAACCAAGAAAAACCTTGAAAAAGTATCGAAATCGATATTGAAAATAGAAATAAAATGATACCATTTTGATATCAGTTAGAAAAACCAGAAATTATCCCTATAGATAAAATTTGCTATAAAATTGAAGTTTCACAAGCAACAGGAGTATCTATGACAACAAGTGTACATGTCAGTACAATAAAAAGAGCTCCTTAAGTTTTACTTCTTATTAAATAATTCCAGATATTATTGATGAAGCCATTTTCTGGTTCACATACTGATACCAGTATCACAAAAGAACTCAGTATCATTGCAGAGAGATTTTACCAGGATCAGCACACAGAGCAAAATTTATTTTCTTGTCTATGAAAGTGGAGCATTTTTTATTCAGAACAAAGCCAACTTTAATATATAAAATGGATAAAATGTGAATGAAATGTGGTAGTAAATGACTCAAACACAGAGTTTTAGTCATTTACTACCACAGGCTTTTAAGACGTTGCTAAGTCTCAATCAAAAACAACAAAGATACTAGCTGCTACAAGACTAATTGCCATCAATTTTAACCACTCAGATATAGCACAAGAAAAATTAAAATGCACTTCTTAAAAACATAAGCTCTTAGACCACCAAATAATACAAAACATAAGCACATGCTGGAATTTGACATAATATTTAATGAAATGATTGAAACAAAAGTAAGGTATCTATTTTAACATAACTAACCATGATTCTTTAAAGAATTTACCACCTGCTCAATGTGAGTTTATGAAACAATAAATCAAAAATCCAAAACCATTTGGGAAGGTAATAAAAATAACCAGCTAAGGTATTTACAGCATGTTTGAGGTGAGTATTGTTAAAACACCAGGGAAAGCAAAATACTAATATTGCTATTAGTTTGTCTCAAAAAAAAAAAATGAAATTGAGATCTACACTACAAGCTGAACTTTCTTTCTTTAACAAGAACTGTATTACAAGGCTGAATACAACCACTATTTAAGTTGGCAGTTACCAGAAAACAAAAAATACTGTTAAAGAGTAAGAAAAAGGTCTGAAAACTTAAAAAACTGCATATTTATTAAGTTATACATTTCATGAGGAAAACATGGAGACACTAGAGAAAGCATTTACCACCAAAGATGACAAGATAAAATGTCATGCAAAATTGAGTTTTGATTAATGAAATAAGAAATGATAGCTTGTATGAGCAGTGACCATGATAGTATTTGTTGAAAAAAGAAAGAGATACAACCTTACAATGATGGAACAGAGGCTTTCAACAATGAAACAGAGGCTTTCAACAATGAAACAGAGGCTTTCAAAGATAAAATTGATGATAAAATTGATTTGAATTGATTATTCAGTCTCTGATCCCTTAAAAGTAAGTTTTAGATTTAAAGATTGGCAACAAATATTAAACATATATTAAATGATTAGTATACAATCTTGCTATGAGAGAACTTTTAACCTTTTTTTTTTCTTTTAATTTTATATTTGAACTTTTACTAAAACTAAAAACTTTATAAATTTTCAACTTCAATAACTATAATCAATTTTTTATAGGTATTTACCTTGAAACAACCCTGTGACCATGATTTAAATGCATCTTCTTGTCCACAAAGTTCATCACCTTCTACAAATGGATAAATTTCTTCACCACCAAGTGTTTTTAGTAGGCTATTTATAGAATTTGCAAACGCACAAAAATTTGGATAAGCTTTTGAACCAAGACCAAATACAGAGAAACTAAACAGGTTTTAACTATTTAAATTAGCAAAATGATGTTATATTATTCTATATTATATATTTTTTCGACTCTATATGTTATTTCAATATTTTATTTCATATTTTTATTTAAATAAAAGAGAATACAAAATTTTTCAATGTTTTATTTAAATAAAAGAGGAGACAAAAACGCATGCATGCTATGCTTGCCTTACTTATTTCTTCAGCTACTTTACGTATAATGCTGTTGTTCTCATTTCCATAATTAATAAAACTAAATCCAAGATACAAGTTTTTTTAAATTACTTTCTGAATACAGCCTTATTAATCCTCTTAAAATTGATGAACATCTCAATGTTTAAATGCCTCAACACACTCAAATATAAGGTCAGATTAGATTTTCAGGTCATGTCAGGTCAGGTTTTCAGGTTGAGTCAGGTTTTCTTGCTACTGGTAACATGTAACCCAGTACAATCTGCTTCATGTCCTGCTGCCTTGTAGGATAAGCCTTTTTAGGCAAAGGCCAGGAGATGTAAACTCTGACATAAAACACCCCCTGCTTTGGGGCTCTTGCTTGAGTAAAGGCTAGAGATGGTGTCCCAATAAAAATACTTATCTTCGGCAGATGTTAAATGCATCCGACTACTGTCTTGTAGAAGACCTCCTAGGCAAAGACTTAAGGGGTAAACAGTTCTGTTTCTGTTTTTATGACTAGGCAACTCATTCTATTATCTCCTAAAGAGGATACAGCTTTAAAACACAGTTTTAAGGTTCTGAGGCCGGCTATTAGTCAGGTTTCCCGAACTCTGCGGCAGCTCTCAGAGAGGCTAATTCCATCAACAGCTAAAAAAAATAAAAGTATTAACAGTTCATGTTGTCCCTGTTTGTACTTTTGGTTTGTATTGTTAAAGCCACATTTGGAGCCCTTTGTTAGGGCTTAGGGTTTATTAATAGAAAAGAGGCAACTGCTTGGGCTATTAAACAGTGTATTGAGTACTATCTATGCTTCAAGTCAAGTTCTTGAACAAATTTAAAAATGAATAAAGTAACAAAAACTATAAAACACAAAAAACAATTGCTATCACCAAGTTCTCTAAACCTATCATTCACTAATATTCGTGGTCTTTGAAGTAACTTTTCTTCTGTTAAGTCTTATCTCTTGCAGAGTTCACCAGACTTGCTCTTATCTACTTGCTCTTATTGATCTAATTTGATTTCAGCTGTCTCATCTTGTGATCTTAGAGTTAATGGTTATCTTTCTTTAATTTATAAAGATTCCAATAGTCACATGCTTGGCCATTTGTAAGAGTTAACCCATTTGTCAGGAAACTAGGTTTAGATCCACAGATTACCACTTCACTCTATCGCCTTTCTCTTTGTTCTATTTCACTCTCCTTTATCTCAAGACTGCACTCTTCTTAATGTTATTTCTGATCATATTGACCGAGCCCTCTTTCTTTATCCATCAGGCAATATTATTGTCGCCTGTGACTTTAACACTCATCACACTGAATGGCTTGGCTCTAGTGTCAGTGACTCTGCAGGCATTAAAGCTTAAAACTTTTGCTTTTCTTAATCCCTAACTCAAATAGTCAACTTTCTAACTCGCTTTCCAAACAACCCAAATCATTTACCTTCTCTACTCGACTTATGTCATGTTTATGATCCTAGTCAGTGCTCAGTTTCTCCTCATTCATCCTTAGGTGCTTCTGATCAGTTTGATCTCTCTAAAACTATTATCTCATTCTCCTTCATCATCTGAATACCCCTATCATCATACTTATTACAACTACATTAAAGCTGACTGAGACTCTTTCCTGTGATTTTCTTCGTGATGGCCCTTGGGTAGAAAACTTTTGTCTTCCTGTTGACAAATGTGCTTCTTACATAATTTCATGGATTCAGGCTGACATAGAATCTTTTATTCCCTTTTGACAATTCCAGGTCAAGCCTCGCTCTTCTCAACGGTTTTCTTCACTTTGTGCGGCTGCAATTTCCAATTGAAACCATTACTTCCATATCTATCAGCAAAACAATTCTCCCGAAAACAGACGCCTATTTATTACTGCTAGAAACCATTGTAAAAAGGTTTTTTCTATTGCTATTCTCAGGTCATGAAATTTTGTATTTCATCACAAAAAATAGGCTCTCATGACTTCTGAAGAATCTTTAATAGTATCAATAGTTTCACAAATTTTAAAAGACATTTAACAAGAAATTTATCATTAAAATTTAAAGTTTTCATCAACATCCCAAAAAAAAACTAAAATGTTTAGCAATTTTTTTGTACAAAAAAAGTTCCATATTATGAAAATATTAGAAAAAAAAACCTTTTAAAATAAAAAAATATGCATTCAGAATAAAATATACAAAATATAGTATGTAAGCATCTAATTGTGTAATTTATGTTAATAAATTTGATAAGGTGTAAATAAATATAAAAAAAAACAAAATGACTCAAAAAGCAAAATGAAATAATGAAAATATAAAAAAAAACAAAATGCAAAAACAAAGACAAAGTACCTGAATATATATATATATATATATATATATATATATATATATATATATATATATATATATATATATATATATATATATATATATATATATATATATATATATATATATATATATATATATATATATATATATATATATATATAAGGGTGGTTCTAAAAACAATTTATTTTGAAAATGAATGCTTGCACAACCTGAATATGCTGTATATAACAAAAAAATGCTGGACTTAAAAAATTTTTTAGTAAAATATATTTTAAAGGGTTGCTACTGATCTTCGAACATTAAATAGGTCCCTAATATTATAAAAAAAAAAGTTTTTCAAAAGTATGTCATGTTGGGTCTCAAACGAAGCGAAATTATATAAAAATTTCAAAAATATTAATCATTTTATAATTAATTTTTTATTTTAGATTTTAGTGAACAGAAAATTACATTTAACTAAAAACGATTAATAGAGAAATTAACAAGATTTTTTATTATAATTTTTTTTTTTTTTTTTTTTTTTATAAAATGAATATTATTTTTGAAATTTTTATATAATTTTACTATGTTTGAGATCTAACATGACCTATTTTTGAAAAAAAAAAATTTTAATAATGTTAGGTACCTATTTAATGTTTGAAGGTCGGTAGCAACCCCATAAAATAATTTTTATTCAAAAAATTTTTAAATCCAGAATTTTTTTATTATATACAACATATTCAGAGGGTGCCAGCAGTCATTTATAAAAAAAGTTGTTTTAAGAACCAGCCTAATATATATATATATATATATATATATATATATATATATATATATATATATATATATATATATATATATATATATATATATATATATATATATATATATATATATATATATATATAATCAAATTTAATGCAGACAAACTTAAGTAATTCTTTTAACAAACTTCAATTAAATAACATAAAAGTAAATTCTTTTAACAAACTTCAATTAAATAACATACAGAATGTGAAAACTTTCATCAAACAAAGAAATTTGTGAAGTGTGTTGGTGTTGTGATGTTTGTGTTCCACAATCAGTTTTCATACTAAAAAGTATTTTCAAACCATTTCAAAAGGTTGTTTTGTTTCATTTCAAATTAATGCATAATAAAGTATTAAATTGCTGTTGTATATAATTTTTAATTAAACTTTAAATTGTTAAAAAATTGATGATCATGATCAAATCTTGTATTTATCGATTATTATACTAAATGATTTCGACAAAAATATAAAAAATGTGCAATAAAATATGCTACAGCAAAAATTAAATTTTAAATACTTACATATCAGATGGGTAAACTATTTCATACAATTTTCTACCTAAAGCCTAAAGAACAACAGGTATTTAAAAAATAACAAGTAACTATAAACAGGGACAAAACAAAGTTTTGTTATTACATAAAAAAAAACGTTTATAACCACTTTTGTGTGGTGATTTTTTTTTAAGAGTTTTTTTTCTTGGTATGTTATAGCTTGAATGATGAGTGTATATATAAAGATTTACTAATAAAAGTAAACTTTTTTTTTATATATATGCTTTTAAAACTTATGTTACATAGATGTAAAAAAAATTTATTTAAGAATAAAAAAATTCTTTTTCTTTTCAAAAAAACTCTATTTTTAGCAAATATTTGCAAAATATACTAAAATTGTAAATAATAGTAAAAATACTCTATAATAGCAAAAATAAACTTCAAACAAAAAAAGGGATTAATAAGAACATATAATATAGAAACAAAATGTCTTTCACTTTAACTTATAAAAGTATATTTTTCTTAGAAAACATCCAAGATAAAAAGCAAAGATACATAATTTAATAATTGACAAATTTAATAAGTAACATAATTTAATAGTTAACCTAAATTAATAAATAACATAACTTAATAATTAACATAATTTAATAATTATAAAGTCTGATAATTAACTTAAAAATTATCAACTCGAATAATTAGCATAATTAAATATAAATTAATAAATAAGACAGGAATGTGGAGTCGGAGTTGCGGAGTTGCAACATTTTTGTCAGAGTTGGAGTCGCTCAACAAAATTGCGACTCCAACTCCAATAGTAAAACTTTTCAGTATTGCACGTGCATGTATAAAACATTAAATTAACCTTATGCTCATACTAAACCTCAAAGAACGTTTCATAACTTTTTTCAAAAGAATTTTTTTAACTTATCGCATAATATTTTTTAAAGAATTCAAAGTATTTTTCAAAAATTTTGTTTTGGAGTCAGAGTAGGAGTCGAAGATGTACTCAAAAAATTTCAACAACTGGAGTTGGAGTCGTTACTTTTTTTTTACGACTCCACACCCCTGAAATAACATAGTTTCATAATTATCAAATTTAATAATTTAATAATTAACATAACTTAATAACTAACATAACCTAATAATAAACATAATTTAATAGACATTATATAAACCAAAACTTTATATTGCTGCTATCGTCATTTTAATAAATACCAAAAACTATATCAATTAAAAAATAGAAACCTGGCCATTTTCAGGAGCTTCTCCATTTCCGGTTGTACTTGCAACAACAAATATGCATTTTTCATTTTTAAAATCTTCAAAATCGTATTGATCCATACAAATTACTTTTGAATTGAAGCCATTTCGAAATAGCTCTTGTAAGTTATAAGCAAAAGATTCTGCTCTGCCTGTTTCACTTGCATATAAAATTGTGATTTTATGACGTTTAGTTATAGCATTACTCATCATATTTGTAGCCAATTTAACCAAACTAAAATTAATCAAACTAAAGTTTAACCAATCAAAATTTACTCAAATTAAAATTTAATTAAAAAAATAAAGATTTGCAGTAAACACTACACACTTATTTTTATGTTTTAATTTCCATGGAAAACACTTATGTGGTTGCCATAATGTCATATTTTATATAAATACAACATTATGGAACAGTTTAACAGTTTCTTACAACCACATACCCTCAGTGGTATTAGTCTATTTTGCAGGACTGAGTATTTTTACTGTAGCCCTCCGCAGGGAAATTTACCATCCATGGTTTATGAGATCTACCTATTATTAAATTACAGTTTATATACTGAAGTTGCTCTTCTCCGAAGTAACCTAGCTTGAGGCCCTTGCCAGTCCCAATATAAGATTAGTTTAATGTTATGACTAGGATGTACATTAAACAAATTTATAAAATAAAGAAACACATACTTTGAAATTTTTTTAAATGTGTGTTTATTTGCACTTGTTTGACTTTTATAATTCACCCATGCAACAGCTTGATACTCGTAGGCTGGTTTTAATTTATAATTGAGCATTTCCTGAAAATAAACATACTTGATATTTTTCATAATTTATACTTTATTAAAAACTTTAATATAGATTATTAAAATATATAGTATTAATCTTTTTTTATAAAAATATAAAAAAGATAACAACATATAAACAAAACATAACTTATTAATCATATAACAATATAATATAAAGTATATTATTTTATATAAAACATATTAAAAACACACTTCATGATATAATAGTATTAACAAAAAAAGATTTTCAAAAAATTATTGTATATGTAATAATATTAATAATAATTAAATATAATATACTAATAAAATAATGCCATATTTACAATATAATAACTTTGAAATTAGTTACAATATCATAATTTTGAAACCATAGTTACAATATCATAATTTTGAAACAATAGTTACAATATCAAAACATTGAGTTATATTCAAATTTTGACTAAAATTTTTTAATAAATTAAAAATTACGTTTTACGAAGAAAAAAAAAACTAATTATTTTAAATTTTTTTAATTTATTTCATGTTAAGTCTCTAGCGAGCGAGCATTTATTATTAGCAAACCATTTAAATATATAAATATTGCAAAAAAATATTGTTTGAGGCATTTGTCAGGTGCATTTTTGTCACTATATTTCATATTTTTTTTCAGAAGTTAGGTTGAGAAAACTCACAAAATCTTTAACAATGTCATCAGTAAAAGAAAATATAACATTCAATCTTTCAAACATGAATCTGATTTAATTACCTCTCACAAGGGTAAGGTAGAACTATTTAAAAATACCTTTTTATTTAACTTATCTTTTGAACCTTATGACCATACTCCTAATATGCCAAAGAATCAATTTAATCTAGGCTGACATAATTTTGTTAAATTCTCATCCAGTTCTCACTTTATTACTCTCTTAACAATTTAACATTTAACTTAATCTTGTTTTCCTGCTGCTAGAGATGACATTTTCCATGTTTCCGATATTTAAAAACAATTGGAGATTGCTCTGATAACTCTATGACCCAGTCATCTTACTTTATTATTAACTTCTAAAATTCATGAAGCAGTGAGGCAAGAGATGTTGCTCTAAATATATCAAAGATATATTTAAACTCACTCCATATAATGGAAAAGTTTTTAAAATTACTGAATTCTTCATTTATAACGACACTATTAAAGTTGCCTTAGATGGCCAACACTGTCTTTAGTTCCGGTAACTTCCAGGGTACCACAAGGTTTAACTCTTGGTCCTGCATTATTCCTTATCTTTATTTACCATCTTCCTAAACATCTTACCTACAAAGTGGCTGATGATATAATTGTAAATAAGATTCAAGACAAAAAGTTATCACATTTTTGATTTCTGAGAACAGCTGATCTTAATTTTGATCTCTCTTCTCTCATGGAAACCATTTTATAGACATTGTAAGTTTTTTTCTTTTTTTTTTTTTTTTTCTTTCAGAAAACTATTTAAAAAGAAGAAAAATAACTTAACAGTGTTGTTATTCATTGTTTTTTGTATTTTGATAATATAAAATACAAACTTTTTGTATTTTAAATTATGAAATTCATTATTTCATTAATATATTTTTTTTAATTTTATTAACTTAAAAGTCTTCAACAAAAACAAAGGTGAAAACAATTTTTGTATTTTATATAAATATATATATTATTTTATTCTATGTATTTATCTTTGTATATATGTTTTTATTTTTCTATTATATATATATTATATTTATACATGATGTGTTGGATAGTGAAGAGTAAGTGTATTGTCACACACAATATGACATTATGTTTGATTGCGACTCAACCAGCAATCAAGAGTTGTTTAAAAATAATTAATAGCTAGTGATGTTACAACTTCAATTTGAAGTGAATTCATTGCATTGGCAGTAAAAAATAATAATCTCCTGAAGAATGGTTTGAAAAGTCTTTATGATAATTATAGCAATGACCTATTTAACTGTTTTTAACAAGTGGAAAATATTTCTACTTTTTATCATGTTGATACCATTCATTAGTTTGTATAATTGAATCAAACTGCCTCTTTTTTTTTTTCATTCATAGTTGTCAAGCCTAGAAGTTTCTTTTTTCATTCAGAGTTTTTTAGCCTAAAAGTTTCTTTTTTCAGAGTTAAATCAACCCTAAAGCAATATTCATGTTTAAAACTATTAATGGATGAAACAAGTTGTTCTGTGTTATACTCTTTCAACTGCATTACAGTCTCTTTTCATAATGAGAGACTAAAATGGAACTGCAAATTAAACAAGTGGATGAATAAATGTTAAAAAAAGAGATTTTATAAATTAACAGTCAAAATTTAAAAACAATTTTTTTATTTGTCCTAGCATTTGATTTGATTTACCAATTTTTTTTTTTTTTTGTTAATTCACCTTACCAAGGTCGAAAAGGCCACTACAGACGAGGAGGCTACTTAATTGTGGTTATAACCCTCTCTCAACTCTATAACTCAGAAACACAAATCTTGACAAAAAAGACCGCTGCGTTGAGAAACAAGTTGAGCGCAGTACTACCAGGGATGTGGTGGGATCGAACTCAGAACCTCTTGCTAATGAAGCGAGCGCTCTACCACTACACCACTACCACAATTGCCAAAGTTATTTGACCTTTCTATTTAAGATTAGTAGAAAACAACACCAAGGTCTTCCTCAGACTCAGAATCAATATATTTGACACCTTTAATAAAAAGTGATCATTTTTAAAGCCATAAAACATCACAATGCACCTTGTTCATGTGAATATCAGCAAACAAAAAGTCTATTCATTTACTTAGTGATCATTTTTAGAGCCATAAAACATCACAATGCACCTTCAGAATCAATATATTTTACACCTTTAATATAAAGTGATCATTGGTAGAGCCATAAAACATCACAATGCACCTTGTTCATGTGAATATCAGCAAACAAAAAGTCTATTCATTTACTTTATTTAAGTCATCCTGTACTTCAATGACATGCAAATCTGTATTTAAAACTTATTGTCATCAGCATATACATTTGATACATTTTTAACTATATCAGACAAATCATTAATGCAAATAACAAAAAAGAATGGTTCTTCATGGTTTAGTTAAAAAACCAAACCATGAGGAAGGCCACTATAAACATCAACCAAATCAAAGACAATATCACTCTCTGTCTGCTGTTTCTGGAAGAAAGAAAAAAGCAATCAATTTCAGTTATAATCCATAAATGCCATAAGCTTAAGGTTTTAACAAAAAACTGTTATGATCAATTGTGTGAAATTAACAAAGTTAAGTAGAACAACACCAACTGGATTATTATATATAATTTTATAAAACCAATTGTTTAAAACCAAAAGTTTAGGAAAAAGCTCAACTTCAGTAAGAAATACATGAAAACATCTTATTAAAACATTAGCAACTTCAAGTTGATTTTGTGAAATGTTGCCATCATCTCATTTAATTTGATTTTTTATATATATGTATTTACTTATTATATATACTATTTTTCTATTTATCATTATATTTATTTATCACATTGTGTTTTTCATTATCATGTATTTATCATTTTCATTTGGATTATTTTTATTTGTATTTATTTTTTTATACTTTTATATAAATTTGACTCATTCTGTGAATCAACTGACATGGCACAATTCACAGAATGTGCAACCGCTTGCTCATTACACAAAATGCCCAACTATTATATTGCACAAGTATTATATTGCACAACTCTTGTATTGTACAACTATTATATTGCACAACTATTATATTGCACAACTATTATATTGTACAACTATTATATTGCACAACTATTATATTGCACAACTATTATATTGTACAACTATTATATTGCACAACTATTATATTGTACAACTATTATATTGCATAACTATTATATTGTACAACTATTATATTGCACAACTATTATATTGCACAACTATTATATTGTACAACTTTTATATTGCACATTTCATGAACTGTGTATTGTGCATTTTAAATTGTCTACTTGATGGTTATAACTTTTGAGATTTAAAATAAAAAATATTTTTATTTTTATTTATTTATTTTTTTTGAAGCTTTTATTATTTCATAAAAATAATTAACTATGATTAAAAATAAATAAACTATTATTAAAGAACTTTTCATTTATAAAAATAAAAACTTTAGTTTTTGAAATGAACAAAAGAAGTTTAATTTTTGTTCTTTCACTTTAATTAAAAAAAAAAAAAAAAAACTATACAAAATAAATAAACAAAATTTTGAATAAATTTTTAAACTAAAACTATTAACTTTTTGCATTACCTGATGGAATACAGGACATATTGATCCAGAAAGTGGCGGTACTATCCACACCCAGTCAGATGGGCATCCACCACGCAATTTATTCTAGAATTGATAAAAACATATTTCACATCATTTCAAGAAAACTTTGACAAGTATTACAAAACTTACAAATTTATAAAACTTACAAATTTATATAAATTTACTGTAGTAGAAAATAATCAATTAAATACTAATTAGCTTAAATTAACATAAATTTACTTTATTAAATAAAATTTCAAAATATTTACTTCTTTATGAAGATGTTTCATAAAAGATTCAGCCGTACTGTGATGATCTACCATGGTCACACCTGCTGCCTAAAAAAAAAACAGTGAGTGGAAAATAAGCAGAACAAACATAATTGATGAAGATGTTAATTTAAGCATTTTAGAACAGCCTCTTGTATAAATGTATAAAGTAGCAAATCAAATTTTCTTAATAAATCAAAATACTTGATAGCTATGTAACACAGCAGCTGTAAGTTCCAAGACAACACGATCTTTCCATAAGGACATGTGGGTAGATGTGTTATATCCTAAAATTTCTGCTATTGGCTGAAAAAATTAAACTTTTAAAATTCCAAAATGTTTAGTTTTTTTTATAGTTTATTTATTACGAAAACATAAATATATATAGAATACATTTCTCAGTCATTTGTAGTTTGTTTTAATTTGTAAATAATATTTTTTCTGATATAACAGGAAAAACATCCTGCACATACAAGTAAATAATTCAGAATCTGTAAGACAAATGAATTGAAGTTTATAATAAATGGATATTTAAAAGAAATCATATTAAACATTTGTTGTTTATTTCAATTCAGATTAGTTTTAATTAAGATTATTTTAATTTTTTTTTTATTATTTTTATTATTTAACTTTATATAAAAGTTTTTTATTTTTGTTTCATTCAGGAGTCAGCACAGCTTACATAAACTTGAATAAGTTACAAAAATATTCCTTTCAGGATTTTGTTATCCAGGAGCTCCAAAAATGTAAATAAAAACATGACTTATGGGAAAAAAATTTAGACTTTTCATTTTAGTTATGATTTTGAGGAAGACATCCGAATTTTTTGATTTTGTTGTTATAATAAAAACAGGATTTTTTTAAAGGATTATGGGAATAAAAATTAAAGGATTATGGGAATGAAAAATTATGGAAAACATAATTAGTAATAAGGTAAAGACCACATAAATAAATTCAATACTTGTGGCAAAACTGTACTAATGTAAAAATCTTATATGTGTTAATAATGGTTTTATGTAAATGCAACATAATACACTTGTATTATTAGATTTATATACAAGTATGTATATATATAAATTAGCACAATTATCTATTTATAGTAAGCACTCAACACAATGGAAAAGAAAAAAGGTAAAACCTTAAAAACATAAAAATATTAACCTTTAACAAATTATATCGACTTTCATCACAGAAATTTCTGACACTTACTTCTGTACTCATATACCTAAAAAAAAAAAAAGAAATACTTCAAAGTCACTGAAAATGTAGCCATATTTAAGTCTTCATACTTTAAAGTCATTGAAAATGTAGCCATACATAAGAACAACTAAATCTCTTTTGATTAAATAAAACTCTTTTTTTAAGTTTTTTTTAATAATAAAATTTTAAATTAATTTTTAATAATAAAGTTTAAATAAGGCTTATTATTACTATTTTTTTAACTAATTCTAAAAATTTCAAAAATTAAAAAAAAAAAAACATACAACTAGTTTTATAAGAAAATGTTTAGAAAATCAAAAAAATTTGATTCAAAGATCTTACTATAAAACATAGAAACAAGGTTAGCAGTTCGTTGCAAACCTTAAACACTTTGGTCAGCATTTAGATTGGCATTGCTGAATGCCAACCCTAATTCCAAGGGCTAAATTTATAATTACTATTTTTGAAATTAAATTTTTTAGTTTATGTTTTAGACTAACTCTAAAAAATTTTAAAAATTTAAAAAAAACATACAACAAATTTTAAGAAAAAATGTTCAGATATAAACTCAGATATAACAAATATGTAAACTAAAAAAACAATAGATTACTTAACTAAAAAAATCCTAGGAAGAAGAACACACTCAAAGTGGAATAAGTTCAGGTTAAATAAAAATCTTTATGTGTGTTTAAATATTAAAATCACATTTTATATTATTTTAGAAAACAAAATCAAAACTTTAATTTAATACATACCACCCATTAAAAGGAACAGCTGCAAATGTCAACCCACCACAGCTTAAAGCCATGTTACTTATAATTGGGACAGCATACCATCGTAAACCCAATTGGTCTAACTGGGGGTATCTAAATTAAAGATTTTCATGTTATAATAAGATAAACTCAAGAAAAAATAAGACTAAATTATAACCCCAAAAAAATGTTAGAACAACATAAAACCAGTTTATAAAAATTTAAATAATTAAATAATAAAACTTTGCTAATGACTAAATTTTTTTTTGTTGTTATTTCTTTGTTATTTGGTTGCTTTATTATGCTAGTAGTTTAGGGTTTTTTAATTGAAGTTATTTATCGTTCTTTACCAATTTTTGAAGAGTGTTACGATAAGTTGTTTCAATGTATAATGTTTTAATAATATTTAAAAATTGATTTAACATTTTCTTTTTTTATATTTAATATAAAAAAAGGAAATGTTAAATCAATTTTTAAATATAAATCTGTAAACGTATATTATATGTAAATGTATATCACCAATACTTTTGAATAAATAATAATTATTTATTCAAAAGTATTGGTGATATACATTTACATATAATATACGTTTACAGATATCTAATTTACGTATACCTAATATACATTTAAAATATGGATGTGGTTGAGTTATGGTAATTAGTAATGAAATTTTTTACTGCAGTATGGGACAGGTGCGAATTATGGGGTAAAACAAAAGTGGTGATGGCATTTATCTAAAACAACAAGTTATCATTGCTGAGCTACCTAGATAATTATTAAAAGTCAAAGTTAAAAAAATTTGTCTATTTTAGTCCACTGAACAACGCAAATGTCTTTATATTCTTAAATTATTAGAAATAATAAAATATAATATAGAAATATAGTAAATGAAAGATTTTCTAAATACTTTTTGACATTTTTAAAAAATTTCTATATTATTAAAATGTTAAAAGAATTTTAAAAAAATATTAAATACAAAAAAAGATGTTGCTTAGATAAAAAGATGTTGCTTAGATAGAAAATCTCTTTCTCAGATGGTTAAGACTATTGAAACTATTGCAAAAGATATTGCATATGTAAGTCATAAGTAAGCTTCAAATTCAAAGAAACCAAATAGAATTCCTAACAAAATCACCAGTATTTATTATTATAAAAGACCATAAAGAAAACAACAAATCAAAACCAACAAGCAAAATTAAACTGGTAAAGAGCAAAACTAGATTTTTTACTTTTCAGTAATACTAATTCTAATGCCCAAGATACCAAACAAACTCAACTATTAATGGTTTAAAAATAAAAATATAAGATTTTAAATAGGTATAAAAACAAATCTTAAATAAGTTGATTTCACATTCAATAAAATAAAATAAAAATTAAAAAAACCTAATCTTTAATACATCTATGCAAAAAAATTGTAAACGTATGGTTTATTCCTCCATTTAACAAAATTATTTAGTATTTCCACAAATGCGGCTCAAATTTATGCCACAAATGTTCATAAAATCCACAAATCTTACAAAACCCTTAACAAAAACACTCTAAAAATAGTTGTGTAGAAGATATTTATATTAAAAATATCACAAAAGTTTTTACTAATACAAAATCGTTTTTAACAAAACTTTGTTTAATATACATATTTTTACCATTTCTACCAAAGCATCTCTTTAATGTGATGAAAATTAATACTCACACAACCTTTAAACAAAAAGTTCTTAATCTATAAATCTATATTTTGTAAAATACCTTTAAACAAAAAGTTCTTAATCTATAAACCTATATTTTGTAAAAATGGACCATTTTACTGTGTTAGACAAGCAGATTAACCTAACTGATTACCTAAACACATAACATAAGTATCTCAAATATAGAAGACAATTGGATGACATTTTCCCTCATGTTTTTTTGAATTTAAAGCAATAATAAAATTGCAACCTTCTCACTAAGAATGCAATTGTTTATAAAGTAAAAGAAGACCCAGAAAACAGGTCATAGGAGATACCTATATCAATTAGGTTATTTTTTTCTGACTTTTCTTATAGCAACTTTTCTGCAATAAACTCTCTATAGATAAAACTTTTAATTAAGCTGATTTTATTACCAGTTTTGGCAGATTAACTTATGACATAAATTAGGCAGAACTATCATTGAGGGGGGTAAGGGAGCCATGGCAAACTATTTTCTACCGTTATAAATTTTTCTAAAATAATTTTTTTAATACCTTAAGCTTGGTTTCCAATAGTTGTAGAAATGTTGTGCAACAGTTGTGCGTTTTTGTTGTACAACAGTTGTTGCCGAAATAGGTTTAATTCCATCTCCGCAACCTTTGTTTTACAACATAAATTTTGTTGTACAACCGACGTTAAGTTGTGTAACTTACACAAGAAACTGTTTCCATTATAAAGCATTATTATTGTACAACTGTTGTACGACATTTCTACAACTATTGGAAACCAAGCTTTAGCATGAGCATCAGTAGTTGGGTTATTAGATGTGATTTTCTCTGAGTGGTAAAGTTTTACATTTGCATATTATTACATGCATTTTTTTTGTTTAGAGAAAATATTGGGGTTTTCAAATATTACCTTTTTTATTTTTTTGGAGAAAATATTTTGGTTTTCAAGTATTTTTTTTTTTTTTTTAGAGAAAATATTTCTATGCAATGCTGTAATATAGTTGCACTTATTTTAAGTTTAAATAAAGTATTAAATCATAAGAATCAGTATGAAAATTTTATGGTATATTTTTCCAATATTTTCCAAAATATCTTCAATAATTCCAATATAACATATCTTCAGTAGCTTAGTGGTTAAGTGTGCTGCTCTGTGCCAATTCCGAATAAGCAAATTTATTACACATGTATACATGATCCTTACTCAACTTACACTACTGATATAGTTCTTACTTAACTTAACCTACTGAAATTTACACATACTGATGTTAGTTTGTAATAAATTTTTTCATTTTTTGTGTTTTATTTATTTGTTTTTTATATATTTGGAGGTGTCTTTACGTTGTTTATTTACCCATAAGATACTTTATGTATGTTTGTGTTCTATATGAACCTCTGGCTTGGTGTTGGTTCACTCCTAAGTTACTTTATACCTGTATGTTTGTGTTCTCTCTGAACCTCTGGCGCACAGTTTACTCACCTGTAAGTTACTTTATATATGTTTGTGTTCTGTTTAAATCTTTGATGCAGCTCAGAAGAAACTACTTACTCCAACTATAAAACCTATGCTTACCTTAATCTCTAATATTTTGTGAGATATAGTGTTTATACTAAAGCATTTCCATAATGTTATGCCTGGTGTTTTAACTACTCCAGTTCAGGTCATGTTCAGGATCACCACAATCAACCTGCTATTGGTATCATGTAATCCAGTACTATCTACCCCATGTCCTGCTCTCTTGTAGGGTGTGTTTTTTGAGGCTAAGGTTAGGAGAAACAAACTCTGAAATAAAAATTCTCTGTCTTGGGAATCTTGGATGAGTAAAGGCTAGAGATAGTGCCTCGATAAAAATACTTGTATTGGGCAGATGATAATTGCATTCAGTTACTGTCTTGTAGAAGTTCTCATAGGCAAAGACTTTAAAGTTAAGTAGAAAAAATCCGCTAACCTGTCTCGAACCCCTTCTTTATCTATTAGACTGGCTTTGATGTAAACCTGTGTTACATTTCCTGCATATGATGATGAATGCTAGATCTTCTTTACTCTACTCATAAATTTTTGCTTGTGCCTCCTTGATAGTGACTATGCAACTCTTCTTGTTATCTCCGAATGAGGGTACAGCTCTAAAACTCAGATTAATGGTTCTGAGGCCAGCTGATAGTAAGGTTTCTTGAACTCTGTGGTAGCTTTTAGAGATGCTGATTCCATCAACAACTGCAAATTATCAAAATATTACCTGTGCCATGTTGCATGTGGATGATATCCCTGTTAATGCTTTTAGTGGCGATTGTTGAGACCACATGAGGCGCCCAATGTTAAAACTTGAGGTTATATAACAGGAGACAACCAAAAAGTTCATTGCTTAGGAGGCTGTGCTCTATCTATCTTCCACCAGTTGAATCTTACCTCTTTCTAAATTTACCAGACTTGCTTGCTCTTAGTAGGACTAATTTAAATTCTGCTATTCCTTTTTGAAAACTCAGTGTTGATGGGTACTATATTTTGATGTGCAAAGACTCTAATAGCCACATGCTTGGCTTGGGGATCTACATAAGCCTCAATTCACCTATTTATTGTGAAATTAAGTTCGAATCCTTTGATCATTCTTTCATGCGCTTCTGTTAGCCTATCACCTTTCTCTTCATTTTTTCATGTGCTTGTGTTACTCCATCACCTTTCTCTTTATTATTTAGTGTTCTCCTACTTCCCAACAGTGCAATCTTTTAAATGTAATTTCTGATCAAATTGGCCATGTCCTCTCTCTTGACCCCTCTGACAATATTTTTTTTATTGGTATAATGCTCATCACACTGAATGGCTTGGCTCTAAGGCCACTGGCTCTAAGGCTACTGGCTCTAAGGCTTGGCTCTAAGGCCAGAAGTTATAGGTTTTAGTATGCTGCTGGTACTAAAACCTATAACTTCTGCATTTCTCAATTTCTCGTTCAGATAGTTTACTTTGTGACTTGCTTTCGTGACAACCCTAATCATTTTTTTAGTCTTTGATTTTGTCTCTGACATTAGCTTGTGTTCAGTTTCTCCCTTTTCTTCTTTTTGTGGTTCTGACCATACAATGAACTTTATAAATCTTTTATTTTACACTTCTTTTTCGGACTATACCCTAAAGCTGACTGTGATTCTTTTTGAGATTTTCTTTTTGACAGTCCTTGGGCTAAAGTCTTTTTCTTCTCAGTTGACAAACTTGTCTCCTATGTAACCTCCTGGATTCAGGCAGGAATGGAAGCTTTTATTCCTTCTTGTCGGTAATAAGTCAAACCTTGTTTTACTCCATAGTTTTCACCTTCCTGTGCAGCTACTTTATCTAATCGTAATTATTTTTTTTCATCTTTTTGAAGGGAACAACTCTCTTGAGAACAAAAGGCTATTTACTATTGCAAGAAACTGATATAAAAGATGTTGGTGCTAACCTCCATTAATCTAAGTTCACTAAATCTTTCATCTTATCTCAGAACTCAGAACTTAGGCTCTAGAACTTTTTGGAAAATCTTCAACAACATCATTAAGAAGTGTCAAACATTCCATCTCTAAATCATGGGAATGATCTTATTACCTCTCCCAAGGCTAAAACAGAACTATTTGCTAAGAACTTTTCTTCTAATTCTACTCTTAAATCCAGTAACTTCCAACTCTTATAGTGGTTGCTTGCAGCCTTGTTGGAAGTGAAGATATTTTAAAAAAAAAAAAAAAAAAAAAAAAAAAAAAAAAAAAAAATCTTATAGCCATTCTTTTCTTTTCATTTCAATTAAACAGATAAACCCATTGTTAGAGATTCAAATAAATCCAGCTTTTCTTGCTAAGTCATATCAATTATCATATCAATAAAACTCTTCTAAAGCTTGTGGTCAAGACAACATTCGTGTTACAGTCTTATAAAATTCTGAACCTTCCAATTATTATCTGATCAGTCTTCTTTCTGTTATTAGCAAGATTTTTTAGTCTTTGATAAACAAATTTCTCACATGTCATCTTGAGTCAAAGACAATCAATACGGTTTTCCATCTTCTCGTTTTATTGCTGACTTGCTAACTGCTGTGACTGGAAGATTTAATCGTGCATTAGAGGTGGTGAGGGCTATTGCTTTCAATAAAATTTGAGATCTTTTCCATAAGCTTATTTCATATGGTGTATATGGGAAAGTTTGAGATTATCAAATTGTTTCTTTCTAACGACATTATTAAAGTCATCCTCGAAGGCCAACACTCTTTTATTTTCCATAACTTCTGGGGTAATAATCTTCTTGACAACTTTAAATTTAAAGTTAAACTTTAGCTGATGGCTCAAGGACTCCTATATACTCCTGTCTTGACAAAAAGTCTTCTCTTTTTAATCACTTAGAAAAACAGTGGATCTTAAATCTAATCTCACTTCTGTAGCAGATAAAGGCTCACAGTGGCTTGTAAATTTTAACCCCAACAAAACTCGGTTATTTACTGCAAACAACTATTGCAACAAGGTAGATATTCTTACCTTAATGAATGACAACCCTCTTACTGAGTCCTCTTCTTTACGTCTTCTTGGATTATCGTTTACTACTGACCTACTGACCTTTTATGGAAACCATACATACAATCAAATGCTAAACTAGCATTTGCTAAATTTGCTTCTCTTTATCATGCTTGCTATCTTTTTACTTCTGATTCCATTCTCTATCTCTACAAATCTCTTACTTGCCCCTGTATGGAATACTGTTGTCATATTTTGGCTGGTTCTTTTAATAATGGTCTTTTTCTTCAAGACAAGGCCCAAAAACACATTGGAAACATAGTTGGACCTGCTCTATTTGCTAAGCTTGAGCTTCTTTCCTATTTTTGTAAAGTTGCATCTCTTTTTCTTTGCTACAAATACTATCATGGTTATTGCTTAAAGGAGTTATCATATCTAGTTCCATCAACTAAAACTCAATTTTGTTTGACTTGTCATTCAGCAAAGTCTCATTTGTTTACTGTATCTGTCTCTGCATGCTTTAAAAAACTTTTATTAGCCTAGTTTTTTTTTGTGGCATTTCAACCCTTTGGAACTCTCTCCCATCTTCATGTTTTTCTAACTTACAACTAGAAACTAACTACAACCTAGAACTTTTTAAGTTTTCTGACAACTGTTTCCTTGCTCTATAACTCTATTCTTTTTTTCCAAGTACCTCTCAACTTTATAATAGTTCTTTGCAGCCTTGTTGTGAGTGAATTAGAACTTAAAAAAAGCATATCTTAATATATTTAAATTGATAAGTGATCTTCTGCTAATTTATATATATATATATATATATATATATATATATATATATATATATATATATATATATATATATATATATATATATATATATATATATATATATATGTATATATATATATATATATATATATATATATATATATATATATATATATATATATATATATATATATATATATATATATATATATATATATATATATATATATATGTATATATATGGTTTAATTTTAAAAAGTAACAGTTCCCATTTCGTGTTTACTTAAAAAAATGTTCACTAAATAAACGTATTTATTTGTTTTTATTTATTATTTAAGTAAATAATGTCAAGTGAAAATAAAAGTCTCTGTTTAATTGCTAAAAAAGTAACTAAAAATGTTTGCATACTTCATCAAAAAAAAGATGCTTATAATATTGACAAGCTTCGTAGTTTTACTGAAAAGGCGCTTTTGAAATTGAAGAATGGTTGATCATTTATTAAATGGGCAACCTAATTCATCTCCCTATAAAATTTTTAAAACAATCAGTGAGGTATTGGTAGGGGTAGAGTAGGGTGGGTTGGGGAAGGGGTAGGGATAGGGTTTAGGGTATGCATCCCCCAGCCTTTACTAGAATATGCAAGTCCTTAAATTTTCAAGAATTCAACAACCATTTTTTTAATTTTAGGCAAAAATCCTATTTTTATTAATATTGCACACCCTCTCTCCATAAAAAATTCATTTATCTTGTTATCAAAAACAAAGATTTGGAAAATCCATGCTATTAATTCACTAATAGTATGGATTTGTTAAAAATTTAGTATTTAATTTATATTCGACAAGACTAACTCTTTTAGCTGATACATGCCCAACAATTCTCTTGTTTCATCCAAGATGTTACAATAAATGCAAACATTAAAAACAACAAGCTATATACAGCTAAGCATAGTGTATGTGTGGTCTACCTCTGAGTACAGAATCTCAACTCGGAAAAGAAATAGATTAGGTAAATTAAAATCATCTGGGTGGGAAATACAAAGCAAAACAAGCTAGCCAAAGTTGTACCCTCAGTCACTTTAAGGAATTTGTTTTACAGGTTTCTTAAAATACTGCACATGTTTTTGATGGCATGGCGATTCCACTGTAGCTTGCCAACATAAAGATCAAAACTTTTGAAGATATTTCAGAATTTATTTTAAATCTAATTCTAAAAGGTTTCACAATATATTTTCTGACTGACCAATACCAACCAAAATCAGTAAAATTATTTGAACGTGTTCATAGAAGTTTGACCTAAGCAAGACCTAAGCAATGACAAAAACAAGATGCAGACAACAAAGGTCGAGCTTATTACATTTCCACTAAATGATTAGTCAAATAACATTTCTACTAAATGATTGGTCCAATTGTATTTCTACTAAATGATTACACAAGTGCTTTTTACAATATCAGTCAAAGTTCTTCAAACTGTTGAGAGATTCTGAAGAGTACAAGTCAATTTTTTCCAATACTGGCAACACTTTTACCTTTGATGTAACCGTATATAGAGGAGCTAACGAGTCAATAATATGGGTTGAAATGCAATAATACAAATAAAGAAAAATACACCATCCTTTCCATGTAATCAATCATTTAGTAGAAATGTAATAAGCTCGAACTTGTTGTCTGCATCTTGTTTAATGCCAAGAAAGAAGCTCTGTAACCCCAAAAGCTTCTACCTACTCTAGATGCTCTTATGTGTCATTGCAAGAAAGTTTCATATGAAACAGCAATTGTTAAACGATCGTTGGAAGCAAATCTTAATATTCCAAAACCTAGAAATATACATAGACATAGAAATAAATTTGGCGACTTGAGGTTTAATGGACGCTACTCTAGATGCTCTTATGTGTCATTGCAAGAAAGTTTCATATGAAACAGCAATTGTTAAACGATCGTTGGAAGCAAATCTTAATATTCCAAAACCTAGAAATATACATAGACATAGAAATAAATTTGGCGACTTGAGGTTTAATGGACGCTCATTCTCCATGCTCCAGAAAATGTTTTGCTATTTATTTCCTGCATGTGTAAAAAGTCAAAATGTGAAGCACGGGTTTGTGGGGTTTATATATATATATATATATATATATATATATATATATATATATATATATATATATATAATATATATATATATATATATATATATATATATAAACTTAGTTTTTGTTCAGGAGAAGGTTACCTAACTTTTAACATAAATATCTATTTTTTTAATTTTTTTTTTTTTTTTTAATTTATAGCCTGACATCATCAGTACTAAATAATACCCTAAATATGACTCTTTTCAGAATTTTTTTTTTCTTTATCTTTCAACAATTGTTTTTTATCTTTTAACATTAACAATTTAAATTATTTTTTAACATCGTTTATGTATGTTTGTTCAGAAAATATTAGGTCATAAAAAAAAGCATTTAAGCGCAACTGAGAATTTTTTAAAGAAACTAATTGTTTTGTAAAAAATTTTCATTTTAGAAGACTTAAAATAAAATATGATTTTAAAAATTTAAATTTAGTTTTGAAGGAATGTAAAATAGTAAAATGTTGAATGTAAAAAAGTTTTGTAATTTTTTTTTATTTTTTGCCAACTAATTCATAAGTAATTTTAAGAGAATTCTTTTCATAAATGTATTTTTTGTTTCTTATCAAATCAAAACCATGTAAAGTTTTTTTGATGTAATAAGTTTAAGAACATAAACTACGTTTACAAATATCTTATTAGTAATATTTAGTAACTGATAAAATTTATTAATAAATTGTTTATAATCTTTATCAAAAATATTATATTAAATAATTAAATAAAAAACAAAGGGTTTTAAAGTATTTGTAAATTGTTATTTTATTCTTGTCAATACTTTGTTAAAATTTTTTTGTTCTTTTTTTTCACTGGCCTTAACTTGATATATTTGACATAATTAAAAATCTTTTTACAAAATAAAAAAAATTAAATAATATAAAACTAAGAAAGCTAAAAAAACTAAATATTTATTTACACTGGATGTTGAATGTTCACTTCAAGAATATATTCTTCAGGGATTTCAAACAACTGAGGTTCTTTACTACCTGCTTGAATGATCAAAGGAAGTATGTCAAACATCGTTCTTTTACTAACCCAACCAAGACTCTGCGCAATCTTAAGACAGAAAATAAAAAATATATGCGTTATTATAATTATTATATATATATATATATATATATATATATATATATATATATATATATATATATATATATATTATATATTTATATATATATATATATACATATATATATATATATATATATATATATATATATATATATATATATATATATATTATGTATATATATGTATATATATATATATATATATATATATATATATATATATATATATATATATACAGTGGGCAAAATAATTGTCCGTACATTAATGAAAAGTATCTATATTTGTATATATACATAATATATATATATATATATATATATATATATATATATATATATATATATATATATATATATATATATATACATATATATATATATATTATGTATATATATGTATATATATATATATTTATATAAATATATATATATATATATATATATATATATATATATATATATATATATATATATATATATATATATATATATATATATATATATATATATATATATATATATATATATATATATATATATATATATATATATATATATATATATATATACATACAGTGGGCAAAATAATTGTCCGTACATTAATGAAAAGTATCTATATTTGATCAAAACAACATTTAAAAGTATTTAGATAGTTGTAACTAAGAGTTTTTAAAGAATATTATAATATTAAAGTAATTTTATGTGTATTAGTTAAAAACATAATAATATATGAAAAGTTATATAAGTTTATTTGAAAAGAGTTAAAAGTTTAAACAAAAAAATTGTCCGTACACTATGTTAATTTTTAAATTAAAATTAGTTAAAATTAAGTTAATATCTTGTTGGACCACCATCAGCTTCAATAACTGCTCTACAACGATTTTTCATTGATGAGACGAGTTTATACGTAATTTCTTGATTAATTGATGACCAAACATCTAAAACCAATTCTTTGAGCTTGTTTTTATTCTTTTGAGCTTGATCTTTCATTCTTTTTTCCACCACCGACCATAAATGTTCTATAGGGTTCAAATCGGACGATTGTGCAACCCAATCCAACACGTTAATGCCATTTGCAGCAAGATATCTGGTTACAGATCCAGCTTTGTGCTTTAGATCGTTGTCATGTTGGAATATAAATTCCGTTCCATTTCCTAATTTTCCTGCCGAAGCCACCAAATTCCGTTCTAATATGGATCTATATAAGTGTTGATCCATTTTCTCATCAATAAATTCAATTTTGCCAACACCGGATGCACTAATGCAGCCCCAAACCATAATATTTCCACCACCAAATTTAAATGTTGCTTTTAAACACTTCACATTATATTCTTCTCCGACTCTTCTATAACCTTTTGCACCACCATCAGCTCCATATAAATTAAATTTACCCTCGTCTGACCAAATAATCATATTCCAGAATGTATCATCCTTCATAACATGTTCCTTTGCCCACTGCAACCGTTTTCTCTTGTTCACTATGCTGATGATTTTGTTTTTAAATACTTTTCCCATATATATTGAACAGAGCTTGGTGGTATATTCAACATTTTTGCAACTTTTCTAATTGATAATCCATTTTCCCTATTAAAAATTACTCGTTTACTTAAGTCAATACCATATTCTTTTCTTTTTCCTTCCATCATAGCCATGTAGTTAAGAAAAGGTTTATTTTTATTTATTATAGTATTATTTAACCTAAAAGTACAAGATGGTAATATAAAAATCATTTATAAACAAAATTTTACCTTTTAAATGAAGTGTATGGACAATTTTTTGATTTTAAAATTTTAAAAACTTTTAAATAAGTTAATTATAATTTAAATTGTCGGGAGAAAATTGAAGATGGTGTATCGTTTTTATTTGTTTTCTTGTGCGCTATCTATTGGTTTAATTTTTTTTTTTTTTATCATTTAAAGTTTTAGAGCTTTTTTCAAAAAATCTTATTTTTCATTAATGTACGGACAATTATTTTGCCCACTGTATATATATATATATATATATATATATATATATATATATATATATATATATATATATATATAATTTTTCTTATTTAATATTTTCTTAAAAAAGAACCTTACTTCAGTAATTTCTATACTTGATGGATCTCCAATAACTCCATCATTTTGCTTATATCCTGCATATCTTACTAGCTGCGGATTCCAGATGCGAAATTCCCCATTATTTTGATTTGGAAAAATTGTTATTGCAGACCTTACAGAAATACAGTTTATTATTTAATTAACTGATACTGTAACTGTTTTTATAGATGATCATGATTAAAAATAATGATAAATGGTCACACTTAGTTTATATGATTATGAATGTTTTCATACACATTATCTTATGTATGTGCATATGGTTCACTTTTATTAGGGTAATTTTCAAATAAACAATTGTAGCAACTTTAAAACAATATAGAAAATTGAATTTTTAATGATCAGCAACCTCTGAAAATATTCTTTATAAGATAATTTTTAAAATCCATCATCATTTTCTTATGGAGAAAATATATTAAGGAGGTGGGAGCAGACTTAATTTTGAAATGTTATTTCAAGAACTACCCAAATAAATGACATTTTTTAGTATGTATAATAAATCAATTCTTTACTTAAAAAAGTTTTTTAATAAATAGTGGAAATATGTAGATTACCTTATGTTCCCATTATTGGTTGCAAAGCGAAGATGCTGTAAACAACACTCAAACATTTGTTGTGCTGTAGTTACATGGCGACAGTCAAACACCTGCATGTTTAAACAAATAAAAGATTACATTCTGTATTCCATTGAATTATTGTAAAAAAAGTAACATTTTTGCGTTTATTACTGTAGTTTGTGTGTGTGTGTGTTATGTGTTTATTAAACTGTAGTTTGTGTGTGTGTGTGTGTTTTGTGTTATTTAAACTTTATTAAGTTTTAAACAAATTTTATTATATCTAAATAAAAAATTTTAATAAGGTAGTTTCACACAATTTTATACATGACTACATTAACTTTACCCATACCCACGGTAACCCACTGTACCTCACTCTACCATACTGTACCCCACTGCAAGCCTCGAAAAAATTGTGAGACGAAGTAAAACTTTTGATTATCTTTTTTTGAATTAGTGGATTAGCCCTGAACTTGCAAATATAAATTTAAATAAAATTTACAAATATAAATATAAATAAAATTTACAAATATAAATATAAATAAAATTTACAAATATAAATATAAACAAAAATTTACAAATAAAGGGAATAAAAAAATATACTTAAAAACATTTTTTTAAGAAAATATTCAGTAATAGCAATATTTATTAAAGTTGGATATTTAAAAAAATTTAAAAAAAGAAAAATTAATTTAGCAAATTTAAAATTTTTTAATAGTATTTAAAAACTTTTTGAATGTGTTTAAATAATTGATTTAAATAAACATCTCAATAATTTTAATATCTATTAATAGATATTGTTGGTAATGTAGCGGTGTTGAAGGTTGTTGTGTTGAGATGTCTTTGTGATGTAGTGTTATTTGCTTCATAAGCAAGAAGTTCAAAGTTCAATGCTAACTACATTCCTTGTACTTTAACTAGTAGTACCTCACTAGTTTTTCTGGTCTTGTTTATCAGCTTCTATTTTGGAGTTAGAGGGTTAAAAAACAATCAGAAATAAATATTACCTCATTAATCTGAAATAACTATTACCACCCTGACTTCCCTTAAAGGGGCCACCTTGACAAAGGCCATTTCAGCCTTAAAAAGTTAATTGAAAAAAAATTGTTTTATATATAATCAAGCCTAAGTTAAAGTTAGTAATAACCTTTTATAATAATATTGTTTATCTTTTTTAAAAGAAACAACATTTCTTTTATAAGCTGCAAGTATGCATTACTTACTACTAATACACATTTACTTCATTGTCACTATTCTTTTATAAGCTGCAAATACACATTACTTACTACTAATACACACTTTCTTCATCATCACTATTTAAGCACTCATTACTTCATCGTCATTATTAAATTTGAAACTATTTAATTAGGAAAAGAATTAAAAAGCTTTAAATTATATGAGAAAGGACAAAGTAAAGATGGGAGAGAACTTCTCTAATGATCTCTGATGTTCAATGGAAAAAATTAGACAAATAGTATTTTAAAAATATAAAAGTATGCAGCTTTACAAAAAGAGCCTTACAAGTATAAATTTTAATAGTTGGAATCAGAGATTCTAGTTTACTTGAGCAAAACCACAGCAGTTTTTGTAGGCAACAGACATTAGAAGAGACTTTAGCAATTCTACATTAGTATCCATACAAAAATAATAGAGAACAGAAGAGTGAAATGAAGAGAATAAAAAGAAGCAATATAAACAAATTAGCAGATGCTGATTCGCCCAAATTTTTATACAATTTGAAATTCAAATAGAAATCTTGAATTTCAAATTGTGTAAATATAAAATGAACTGTAAAATTATAAAACTTATATGTTATAAAAGACATTACTATATTAAATAAATAATAAAAACTTCTTGAACAAAATTTTAAAAGCATAAATTCTACTTTTTTTTTTATTTTATTTAAAAAGTAACAATGATGACTTAAAATACTTTTGCAATTGATAATGTTAATAAAATGCCTGGTAAAAATGTTACAAGAGTAGAAGGTGCAAAAGAATGTTAAAAAAGTAGAAGGTGCGCGTCAATGTTACAAAAGTAAAAGGTACGCAAGAATGTTACAAAAGGGGCAGGTGCGCATTAATGTTACAAAAGTAGAAGGTGTGCAAGAATGTTACAAAAGGGGAAGGTGCACAAGAATGTTACAAAAGTGGAAGATGCGCAAAAATGTTACAAAAGTGGAAGGTACACAAGAAACAAAAATTTTTAAGAAAATTATTAACATTGCAAACGTCACACATACACAAAAAAAAAAACATTCAGTACTCAAAATTTAAACTTAAATATAGGCAATTCCTGGTTATATTTGGAAAATATCAAACACATCAAAAATGGCAGAATTAAAGAGAGGGTGACAAGTTCATTAAACAAAAAGAATATCATTAACAAAAACAAAAAATTTTTTAGAATTTCTCCAAAAATTCTATAAACTCTTCAAAAGAGGGACTTTTCTATTAAATTATGGTTTACTGAAAATCATTATCATAGGTTTAAAATTGGAAAGTAAAGAGAGAAACGCAGATATTTATCTGGTATATAACAATATTTTAAAATCAAAAAAAAAATGTAGAACTAATAATATGCTATTCACTGAAGAAACAAATGAATTAAAAGAATTTGCGAGATCACAAATTCTTTTAATTTATGCTGTTCATAGAAATGAATTACAATAACTTTTTTAGTTTTTTAGAACCTTATTTGTTCTGAAAAACAATAGAAACATGTTAACTAAAAATATTAAAAAAAAAAATTTTAAAGAGAGTTCTGGAGAACACTTTTTTAAGAGACAGCAGCAGCAACTTCTGCTGCTTGTGGTCCTTTTTGTAAGGACCACAAGCAGCAGAAGATTTAAAGAAAGAAATATTTTGATCAACAGAATGTTTATATTTAGATATATAAAAATAGATTGATCTGTTTCTCTGAAACTACAGAAAGAGTGTGGCCATTAGATTCAAAAAATGAATTAGTTGAAAAGTTCTTTGCAAATAGTATTTTTTTATTATTTTTATGGGAGAAGAAATAAGATCATTTATTAGTGGTAGAAATTTAGACTTACTATTTGTCTGAAGTAGGTCTTCATCATCTGAATAAAAACAAGGAGAAACTGAAAAAAAGCTGGGTCAGAGACAGGACATAAAATGATAGCAGAGTTTAACCTTAAAAAGAAGTAGAACAATAAAGAACAAAGAGGTGATTGAGAGAAGAGGTGCTTAACATAAGCACAAAATAAAATGGCAGAGGATTCAAACATGATTTTATACAAATAGGTAAACCAATGCAAAAGTATATCCACATGCCAAGCATATTACTATTTGAGTCTTTGCAAATTAGAGAATTTTTTTGCTATCAACACTGACACATAGGGATGTTACAGTCAAAATCAAATTAGTCTCACAAAGAGTAAAAAAATCTTATGAATTTTGCAAAAGGTAAGATTTACTAACTGCTGTGACTGTAATATTTTATCATACATTGTATGGAGGCAGAGGTCTATTGCTCTAGACATATCTAAAGCTTTTGACAAAATATGTTTCATATGGTGTATCAGGAAAACTTTTGAGATTATTAAATTGTTTCTATCACTAGGTCATCCTCAAAGACCAACACTTTACTTCATTTCAAGTAACTTCTAGGGTCCCTCAAGGTTCTACCCTTGGCCCTATTTTTTTTCTTATCTACGTTAATGATCTTCCTGACAACCTTACATTTAAAGTAGTTCTTTTTGCTGATGACTTAACTTTATACTTAGAACATGTAGCCAATCTTGAATCTGATCTCACTTCTGTAACAGATTGGGGCTCACAGTGGCTTGTAAATTTTAGCTCCAATAAAACTAGTTATTTACTGCAAACAACTATCACAATACTTTCAACATTTTTATTTTAATCAATGGCAATCTTCTCACTGAATCCTCTTCTTTACATATTCTCGGATTATCATTTACTACTTACCTTTCACGGAAACCATATATACAATTTATTGCTAAATTAGCATCAGCTAAGGTTGCTTCTCTTTATTGTGCTTGTTATTTTCTTACTTCTTATTCATCCACTTATGGAATAATGTTGTTATATTTGGGCTGGTTCTTCTAATGATGCTCTTTATCTTCAATACAAGGTCCCAAAACGCATTGTAAATGTAATTATATCCACTCTATTTCTTAAGCTTTAGCTTCTTTTCCATTGAAAGTTGTTAGAGTTCTAGGTTGTATACAAAAAGTTCTAGGTTGTATACAACCTAGAACTTTTCAAGTCTTCTGTCAACCGTTTCCTTGCTCTATACTCAATTATTTTTTTTTTCTAGTAACTTCCAACTTAACAGTGGTTGCTTGCAGCCTTGTTGGGAGTGAATATAAGTTTTAAAAAATATGATTAAAAAAAATTTAACTGTAACTTCAAAGGTACTTTGAAGACCATAAATATCTATAAAAGATGATGGAAAAGAATAAGTTAGAAATTATAGTTTTGAAAATAGATTTTTATGCATAATATAAGGCACTTGAGTTATGCTTAAAACTATTAGACAACTTGACTTGATCTATTCATAACTAAGTCAATTTCTCTAATAGCATGCACCCCGAATAATTATAGCTTGCACCCCAAACAATGACCTATGCAGTTCCCTTTTTTTTTTTTTTTGCCCATTAATTAACTTTGCCCATTAATTAACATTGCCCACTAATTAACTCAAAGTTGTAACAAAGGGTTCCTTATGTGACCTTGACAATCTACACCAAAAGCACTAACATGTACACAGCTATACTAATCATGTGCAACATGGCACTGTTAATACTCTGATAATAGTCAAAATATTCAGCTACTGAAGAAAAACTTGTCTATTGTTTTAATATGACATAATAAAATTTAAAAAAAAAATTAAAAAATTAATCTAAACAAACTAATCTAACATGCATGAGAGTATTTATTTAGACAATGTTAATTTTAAAACTACATTTGTTCAGGTATTGGAAGCACATTTAGTAACACTATGTTTTTCTGATTATATTTATATATATTTTTTCTGTTGATGATTTTCTGATTCGATGGTAAAGTGAATGAGTCAAGCCACTCAGTGTGATGAGCATTAAAGTCGCCAATAACAACAATATTGGCTGAGAGATAAAGAAAAAAAAGCTCAGTCTATTTGGTCAGAAATTACATCTAAAAGAGTCTAATATTGAGAAGAAGAACAATAAAGAACAAAGAGAGAAGGGAAAAGGTGCAAACAAAGAGAGAAGGGAAAAGGTGCAAACAAAGAGAGAAGGGAAAAGGTGCAAACAAAGAGAGAAGGGAAAAGGTGCAAACAAAGAGAGAAGGGAAAAGGTGCAAACAAAGATAGAAGGGAAAACTTAAGCACAAAAAAGAATGATCAGAGGATTCAAACCTGATTTCTTGACCAACAGGTGAATGAATCAAAAAGTATATGCCCAAGTGTAGCATGTGACTACTTGAGTCTCTGCAAACCAAGGATAATATACATTAATACTGAGATCTGAAGAAGAAATAGCTCAATTCAAATTAGTCTCACAATGAGTAAGTCCTTTAAAAAAAACTTTCATTTATCTAGTTTTTTTCCCTAAACTTCAATGGTTTGGAACTTTCTCTTACCTTCATGTTTTCCTGACTCAAACAACCTTTAACTTATTAATTCTTCTGCCCAGGGATGCGGAGTCCAAAAAAGACTCTGCATTTAAATGTCACAAAAAAATTACTTCTTCAAAGATTTTGGTATCCAGAAGCTCTAATAACATAAAAAACACTTATGAACTACTATTGGTAAAAAAATTTTACCAATAGTAGTCCATAAAGACTTTTAAGTTAGAGAAACAATCACTTTTTGCACCTGGAGTTCTTAGGTATAATGGCAGCAAGGACTCCAGAACTCTTGGCTTAAAAACAATGTTTCAAGTCATTAAATTTCATGAGTTTTTTTTTTATAGCAGATCATAAGTCAATCAACTTTTTCAGAGCTTCTAGAAACCAGAGACCAGGAAAAAATAGAGATATAAAGCAGGAGTCATTTTTGGACTCCACATCCCTGCTTCCATCAAAAATACCAACAAAGCAACCCTTAATAGTGGTTGCTTTGTTGGGAGTGAATTAGTTTAAAAAAAAAGAAATTTCAGCAAATCAAGAAAAAGGTAAAATTCAACTGATGCAATGTTAAAATGAGATTTAGAGGGTTCAGGTATTCAGGGTTCAGGTATTCAGGATAAAAAAGAAAAATTCTAAACCTATGATAGACACAATATAATGTAAAATATGTTTACATCTATGTAAACATAAAAAGACTTTTACAAGAGTGTAGCCATCTGCTTAAGACGAGTTTTTCATTGATAAGAAAAAAAAATGAAAAAAAGAACCAAATAAAATCTTGTGAACAAATTTTGAACAAGAATATTAAAAATGCGTAACTCTAAAAAATTAAATAAAAATTAAATTTAAAAAAAATATATACATGTAAATTTTTCCAGTGAATCCTCCCAATACAACGTGATGCATTTCTCCAAGCAAGACGAGCTCCAAATATTAGTTCCTTTTCTGTCAATTCATAAGAATTGCAAGATTCAATTTCTGTTAGAACTTCGTTGATTCTCTTTGTATGCTTCAAAGAATTCAAACTGAAATAAAATATTAAACAAAATAAACTACAAAACTCAAGTAAATAAATTTTAAGAGAATACCTATAACCAAAAACTTATATGACAGGTACTAATAAGCAAAGGAGTTGGTATGAAAATGAAAAATAAAAAAATACTTTAAAAATATAACTTTCAATGACATAACAAAACAGCATATCATTATTAAAAGTAACTTAACAATAAAAAAAAAACAACTTAGCAAATTAAAAAAGTTGTAAAGACTGACCACTGTTCTGACTGAAAATATTCTTCAAAAAACTTTAATGCCTCAACTTTGATTTGTGATGACTCTATTTTGGGATTTTTTTCTTTATCAGGTAAAACTATGGATCCCACACATCGTTTTTCACTGCAACTGGTCACCTAAATTTACATAAAAAAAAATTTGGTGAATATACATAAATACATACATACATACATACATACATACATACATACATACATACATACATACATACATACATACATACATACATATATATGTATGTATATATATGTATGTATATATATATATATATATAATATATATATATTTATATATATATCCCCACCACGTCCTTGGTAGTACCGCGCTCAACTCGTTTCTCCGCGCAGCGGCCTTGCTCGTCAAGGTTCGTGTTTCGGAGTTATAGAGTTGAGAGAGGGTTATAACCATAATTCAGTAGCCTCCTCGTCTGTAGTGGCCTTCTCGGCCTTGAGGAGGTGAATTAAAATAAAAAAAAAAAAAAATATATATATATATATATATATATATATATATATATATATATATATATATATATATATATATATATATATATATATGAATATATATATATATATATATATATATATATATATATATTTATTTCAACATGCTTTCAACAAAGTTGCGAGCAACCATTATTATTTATTAGTTGGAAGTTGCTGGGAGTGAAAAGATGGAGTTTATAAGGCAAGATAATGATTGACAGACAATCTAAATGATTGCAAATTATATGAATCAGGATAACAAGATGAAAGAAGCGAATTCAAAAGAACTGATGTTTGAGGAAAAAAACTAGATAAATAACAATTTTTAGACCACATAGGAATAGTCACAGAAAAAGGATGAGACTTAATTGAATGATGAGTAACACAAGAATGAATTTTAGTAGATGACATAAGAGACACTAGCTCTTTAGTGCAGTGCCTGCTATAGTATTTGTAGAAAAGAGAAAGAGAAGCAATATTACAATGATGTGATAGAGGTTGGCTGCAAGAACAGTTCTAACTAAGTTTACAATGCATTCTTGCACTTTGCCAAAAGAAAAAGGGCATCGATGTTCATATCCTGTAATTTCAGGGGTTCCTCAAGGATAAAACCTTGAGGAACCTGATACACCGTAGGAAGAAAGCTTATGGAAAAGACCAGCATGCTAAACGCATATAAAAAGTTTTAGAAATATAAAGCAATAGATCAACCTGTTTTTTGGATATATATATATATATATATATATATATATATATATATATATATATATATATATATATATATATATATATATATATACATAAATATATATACATATATATAAATATATATATATATATATATATATATATATATATATATATATATTATTTTTGAATTAAGTAGCCCGGTTTTATCATTCATATCAAAACGTTGCAATTAGTTATTAATTTAAATTTATAGTTTAGTATTTATTTATTTTGTTTTTGTCTGATCGTGTATAAAATTAATCCTAGAAAAAGTTTGAAAAGATTTTTTGAAAAAAATACTTAAATATTTATATAGGTGCTTATGTATTTACATTGGTACTTACATATTTATATAGGTGCAATTAAGTGTAATATACTTTAATATTTTAAATAAAACGTGTTTATTGTGCACATTATAGTTAATTTGCTACTTTGTTTAATAAAGTAATAAGTAAACTTTATGTATTTAATATATTTACATAGTGATTGATGTATTTAATAATTCTGTATTTTTATTATACATTTTTATTACATACATAATTATGTATTTAATTAGATAATGCAAAAAAAATTATCGTACACTTGAAAAAAAATTGTAATTTTAAAGATTGCATCAAAAAAATTAGTTTTCCGTTAAATTATTTAAATTTTTTTTTTAGATATTTTCTCAAGTATTGTTTTAAGAATTTATTTGTCAAGAAAACAACATTTGTCTCTCTATCAACTAAGCCTCGTAGTTGATTTAAAAAATCAAGGAAAATCCTACGGCCAGATCCAAAAAGAAACAGGAACTCCTTTTACGACAGTTTCCTCAATTGTTAAGAAGCATAATCTGATTGGAACTGTTGCTAGTGTGGCTGGCAGAGGACAAAACGCAAGAACACTAGTGCAATTGATCCCAATATCATCATTAATGTGAAGAAAAACAGATTTGTTTTGGCAGTTAATTAGCTTTAAAAGTTCAAGAAAATCACAATATTACAGTAACCCCTTAAACAATTAGAAATTGTATTAGAGAACAAGGATATAGAGGTAGAGTAGTTCGAAAAAAAACCTTTTTTAATTTCAAAACAAATGAAACTTCGATTAGAATTTGCAAAAAAGTACAAAAAAATGCCAATATCTAAATAGAAAAAATTTTGTGGTCAGATGAGTCCAAATACAGCCTTGTCTCATCAGATGGAGTTCAAAAAGTGTGGCGAAAAAAAGAAGAAACTTATAAATTAAGTTGTTTGGAAGGTTGTGTAAAGAATGGAGGAGGAAATATGATGGTTTGAGGTAGTATGAGTTGGAAAGGAGTGGGGAAATTGACATTTATTGATGAAAAAATGGATGCTTCAATGTATTGTGAAATTCTTAAAGCCAACTTGCGACCATCTACTAAAAAATTGAGAATAGGAAATGATTTTATACTGCAGCAGGATAATGATCCAAAATATACCACTAGGAAATCAAAGGTATACTTTGACACAAATAACATCACTGTTTTGGAATGGCCATCTCCAAGTCCGGATTTGAATTCTATAGAAAATTTGTGGTATATTTTGGACAGAAAAATTAGGACCAAGCATTTAGATAGGGGTGGGAGTTAAGGTTAGTTTTAGTCTAACTAAAAACACTTAACTAAATTTTTAGTCGAACTAAAATTAGTTGACTAACTTTTTAGTTAACTAAAATTACCCGACTAACTTTTTAGTTAACTAATATTACCCGACTAGTTTTCTAGTTAACTAAAATTACCCGACTAACTATTTAGTTAACTAAAGTTACCCGACTAAATTTCTAGCTAACTAAAACTACCCGACTAACTTTTTAGCTAACTAAAATTAGTCGACTAACTTTTTAGTTAACTAAAATTAGCTAAAGTAGACTAAAGACTAAAGCAAGATTTAGTGCTTGAAAAAAGAAATAATTTTTCGCATTAAAACTTTACACACGAGGAAGCTTTATTAAGGCGATAAATATTATTTTATCGTAATTAAACACTTTACTAATTGAGAATCCTAAAGCCCAGTCAAACTTATCTGTTATTCAAAAAAAATGTTTTAAAATTACCCAACTAACATTTTAGTTAACTAAATTTAGTCGACTAACATTTTAGTTAACTAAAATTACCAGACTAACATTTTAGTTAACTAAAACTATCTGACTAACTTTTTAGTTAACTATTATTACCCGACTAACTTTCTAATTAACTAAAATTACCCGACTAATTTTTTAGTTAACTAAAATTACCCGACTAAATTTCTAGCTAACTAAAATTACCCGACTAACTTTTTAGCTAACTAAAATTACCCGACTAACTTTTTAGTTAACTAATATTACCCGACTAGTTTTCTAGTTAACTAAAATTACCCGACTAACTATTTAGTTAACTAAAGTTACCCGACTAAATTTCTAGCAAACTAAAATTACCAGACTAACTTTTTAGCTAACTAAAATTAGTCGACTAACTTTTTAGTTAACTAAAATTAGCTAAAGTAGACTAAAGACTAAAGCAAGATTTAGTGCTTGAAAAAAGAAATAATCTTTCGCATTAAAATTTTACACACGAGGAAGCTTTATTAAGGCGATAAATATTATTTTATCATAACTAAACACTTTACTAATTGTGAATCCTAGAGCTCAGTCAAACTAATCTGTTATTCAAAAGAAATGTTTTAAGCAAAATTCGATTATTTTTATTTTTTCCCGGCTTGGAGACAACTGTCTATGAAGTTGTTGCAACTGTTTATAAACACCCAATCAGCATGGAATATACAAATAATGTCCTTTAGTCAATTAAATAAAATTTGGTACGCTTATTAAACGTTTAACTTATATTTTTTATGTGCTGCTTCCTATAGGTAGTGTGCAATAATATTCGCACATCAAAAATAATCTCTTTTTCCAAGGCCGTACCTACGTGTGTATGTGCACCTTCCCAAGGTTACAACATTTTGTTGGTTTTGTCGGTAATTTTGAAAATTTGAGACCCGGTCGGTCAAAACTCTAACTTGACTTTTAAATAAAAAAAAGCCATACTTTGGTGAAATTTTTATGGTAAAAAAGCTAATTTCATTTGCACCCCCCCTCCCCCCCCACGTCTTCGTTTTTCAGTACAGCCATGTCCCCTGCCATATTATAGGAATGGATTCAACCTCTAATTTTCACAACAAATCTATGACTCCCCCTCCCCACCCGTTCAAATATCAACCTCTCCTAACGACTATTATAACCCGCAAACACTACAGTTAGGCAGGCGAAAGTATTGACATGAACCCAAAATTTAATCATTAAATAAGTTATTATGAATATATTTATTGCTTTCAGAGTATAGTTGTTCGTCGGTTGGCGGTACTGGCAAAATTTAAATTATTTGCATTTTAGAATGCAATAAGTTGTTGAATAGTGTACAAAATGTATTAAATTATACTTAACTGTTGAATAACGAAAACATTTTATTAACTGCGGTCGCTTTTAAAACCAGGAAATTGTTTATGATATTTTAATTACTTGAAAATTTTCGTCCAAAAACATCAATATTTGAAAACATTCAGTTGTTATTCTGTTTCGCTTTGCATACGTAAGTATAAGTTTGCATATCAAATTTTTGATTTGATTGTCACCTTTTTATTAAAAAGGTGACAATCAAATCAAAAAAAATTAATTTATCATTTTACAATGAAGATGATGATTCCGGAAACGATAGTGACAAAATAATAAGTTTAGATTTAAAAAAAGAAATTAGTGGTTATATAAAATTGTCACTAAATGAGCAAATTGTTTGTGATATAATTCCAGTTAATAAGTTTTTAACTGGAATTATATCACAAACTTTTTTTGTCCAATGAAATTCCGACAAAAATTCTATAACGCATTAAAAAAAATTTTCTTCCTCGTACTTTTCAAAGAATTCAAAA